ATATACAGAGTCTGGATAATAAGGATATATTTATGATTTTTTTTTTTTGGTGAACATGAAATAATTAAAGGCACTATTCCTGATTTTCATTCTTAGAAATGTGAAACCAGAACTAGTTTATACAAAGTAAATCCTCACTTAAGTTATGCATTTTAAGCATGCTAATTATTTACTGCAAAGAGACCGGAGTGGAGTTTTGCAAACATACACAACTGTGACTTGTCAGGGTCACAGAGAGAAAGACCAAACCAGGGTTCAAAGCAAAGGGTGGCTATTATACGTTTACTGTATTCCATATATGGTCATTCATAAATTAGATGCGTTCACCAAGACTCCACAAAGTAAATAGTAATAAAAACAAAAAAGAAACATCAATAGAAAAGTGTGTCTAAATCTTTGACTGGTGATATAAGTTACAGTCAAAGTGTCTAGGTTGGAAGAATAGAAATCTATATTATTGGATTTGTCCAAAACAGCTCTGCATATGTGTCCCAGACTGAACACAAGCCATAACTTCATCTTTACATTGTCATTAGGAAACACTGAGGAAACGGAGAAAATGAAAGGAGTTGAAAACGAGGAACTATTTCATGCAATAAACTCATCATGGATCAGCCTCCGTGGAAGGTTGAAGTTGCACATGCCATAAAACCAGGAGGCGCAAAAGGGAAAATAAACTGTGGCAAGAGAGGAGTGGACTTCCACAAGACTGTTACAAAAATATATAGTCTTTTTAAAATTTGTCAGAAATGAAACATGTTTTGGGGAATGCAGGTCGTCCTCAAAAACTGTTTGAATCTGTGTTTAAAAATCATCCGAGCAATATGCGTTTTTTACAGTGTCACACAAATGCATCGCTTCTTTAACATGAGCTCAGAAAACAAAGGAATTGTGAAGGAGGAGAAGTATGGTGGCCTGAAGGAGCACAAAAAGCTAAATAAAAATTAATTTATTGTTACTTATATTTTTATGTTCAAATATAAAATATCTAATATTAATAAAATCTTAATGAAGATATTATATAGTATACAGTACATATATGTTAAACATTTATCTAGAGTGGCAGCTTTAGTTCACAGAGAAATGGCAACAGGCATTTCACACTGCTGATGTGTCCTTGGGCAAGGCACTTCCACATGTATGAGTGGGTGGTTGTTGGTGCAAGATGTAATTATGTGCAGTCTGCCTCAGGACAGTTGTAACTGTAAGAATGCTGATTATAAGTAACATTAAAGGTCCTTTATTTTGCAGCATTGACTCTTGTGAGCTTTTAGCAATGTTAGAATGTTGTTACCTCATCAAAAACATACACGGAGTTGTGTTTTGTTTCATTCACACAGTAAAAGTAATAGTAATAGTAACTAAGTAATCCTTAATTAATAGTTTATCTACATCTCCAATGCTCACAATGCTCTATTCCACCTTGTGATGTCATGAAGCAAGTTAATGGCTACCTTTTGCCTTTTATTTGGTAGAAACAGGACCTTCCAGGACTGAAATCATCCAGATTTTAGTGATGGTGTATGAAAGTTAAAAACACAGTGGAGCACTTCCTGTATTACCATGTGACATCACAAGATGAAATAGAGAGTGAGAAGAACTCTGTCTGTCAAACGTGTGAATGAAACAAAACACAACTCCAGGTATGTTTGCGATTAGGAAACAACATTATAACATAGATCAGAAAATGGCGTAATACAAGCTCTTATATGAGAAAATATTATATACACAAATGTTTAATGTAATAAATAATAATGGATGGTGCTAAAACAAGCCGTTTTTTCTGACTTCAAATGTCATTTCTACAGCCATATTGATTTTGTTATCCATACTAAAAACAGCTGGCTCTACATTTATAATTTCACAACTAACTAAACTTGACTAGCACTGAACTGAAAGTTATGTAAGTTTTTTAGAGATCAAAAAGGGAAACAAGAATTGAAACACTAGAATTAAAAACAAAATAAATAATCCAGGTGTGAACTTGGCTTAGTTGGTCTCAAGTCATTTAAGACCATTTGCATTCATCTAAAACTACAATTTTTAGTGGTGGTCTAAATTCTTATATTATAGAGCCATTTGTGGGTTTAATTAGTGGAATTTAAACTACTGCATATAAACAAATATTGTATAATGCAAAAGCTTAATCTATTGTGAAAAAAAATTATTGTCTTCCAAACATTTTTCTTTTTGCACATTATCACTTTATTTATAAGTTGCAGGTTGATACAATGTCTGTTAAACACATCTGCATTTGGGATATTGCACATTTTGTTCACATTTTATTGCATAAAATTAATTTTAAAATTCAAAACAAATGCAGAGGAAGTACACCTATGGATGTAGGGCACAATATAGGATTAATGAGAGATGCTAATTAATATTTTGAATATATATTTATATTTTTATTTTACATTATTTTCTCAAATTAATTTGTTATTATTTTTTGTATTGTATAATTCCTAATTTTATTCCTTTTTTTTTAAATTTTTGAAATACAGTGTATATCTCTGTTATTACAATAACAAAGTAAAAGTCTTGAGTAGAAAAGGCCCATGTACCGTAGATTGAGAGGCACTTATTTTCAGGAATGTTCTTGATGGTCGTGCCGTGCGTTGTTTTGTCCTTTTAGATAAAAATAGTGTGTTTTAACCAAGGGCTTTTTTCTTAAATGTGACTGAAGCGTTCTGTCTGTGTCCAGAGGTAGAATGTTGTCATCAGAAAGTCGTGACTCAAGGCTCCAAAAATGTGTAGACTTGATGTGCTGTTTTTTATTCATTCAAATCACCTTCACTAAGTCATAACTGTGGTAGATAATACAACAGTAGACACAGTGTTTTGGTTCCCCAAGATAATTTCAGTTGTACCCAGGACTAGAGTATAATTTACTGCCTAAAATATTTAACATCCAACTCTTAAAGGTCCTATATTACGCAATACTGACTTTTGTGAGTTTTAAGCCAAAAAAACATATTTGGAGTTGTGTTTTTTTTTTTTGTGTTCACACATTTGAGTAAGCCTTTATTATTAGTTTGTCTAAAAGCTCAAAATGCACATTTCCACCTTGTGATGTCATGAAGTGGTAGTTTCAAGTTAAGTTAAGTAAAGATAGGCAATTCAGGGGTGTATTTTCAATATCTCATATGCAGGATGTGTGTGTTAAACATGTGTGAATGAAACAAAACACAACTCCAGGTATGTTTTTAATGAGGAAACAACATGGTAACATACTAGTATATCAGGAAAGCACATAATATGGGCCCTTTAACATTGATCCTTGTTGAGGCGTATGAATGTTTAGCCGCTAGCCATTTACCGCTAGCTGTAGTGGGTGTTTCGAGCTCCACACTGTTGTTTTTCCTCAAAGGGCTACATTCAAATATGCTCCACGCTGCTCGCTTTGAGTCCATCCATCAGCTTCTGAATGGGGTCAAACCACCGAGAATGTACCACGCGCTGCTAACATTTACTTTGCACGCTTTGTTTACACTGCACAGGCTGAGGTTTGGGTTCAGATCGGATGGCAAAGCTTTTTCATGTTACTGGAAATATCTGTGATTCTTTTGTAAATATTTTATTAAGTACAAAAATGGAGCCTCAAGTTAGAAAAAATCCTTAAAGGCCCTATATTATGCAAAATGGACTCCTGTGAGTTTTTTTTAGCCATGTTGTTTACCTCCTCAAAAACATACCCAGAGTTCAGCTTTGTTTCATTCACACGTTTGAGTAGCCCTGCATTATTGAGTTTGTACATCTCCCAAGCTCAAAATGCTCTGTTCCACCTTGCTGAACAGCTATTTTTAGGTTTAATTGAATTACAGACTACAGAGAAGTGTGAGTGAAACAAAACACAACTCCAGATATGTTTTTGATGAGGCTACAAGATTGTAACATAGATTTTAAAATGAGCATAATATACAGTAGACCCTTTGTTTGTGTTCAATCAATGAAAATAGTCATACAGGAAAAAAGGGACAATGGATCTGTATTGGTTCTGCTTTGATTGTACTTGTTTTCTGAAACAGCATGTGTAGCCAGTTAGATCAGATCAGGTGGCATAGTGTTCTTTACCTGCACAAGGAGGGCGGGTGTTTGTGCCATGTGACTGTTCTGACCACTCAGAGCGAGAGCAGGCTAGGGCGGAGCAACCAATTCCACTTAATATTATTTTGTTAAGTTGTTAAAAAATTGCATATACATTTGCAAAGTTCATGAACATTTGCTGAGCTGCTCCACATTGTACATGATTCTCTTGTATATTATTAAAGCCAGTGTACATTAAAGGCAATAAGAGCAGGGTTGGTGTTACTTTTCACTTGTAAAATACATGTAAGCATTTCTTTTATACCACACGTATCACTGTACAGTAACTGCTTGTATAATTTCAGGTTTAAAAACGCATGTATCTGAAACTTTTTGTAAACCCTGCGATAACCGTGTACAGGACTTTAGAAAGCCATGTCCATGTGGCAGATAGCGCTGAATCGCATGTTTGTACAGGCCGTTTGTGAATATCTCTGAAGGAAACACTTGAACACATTGACTGCGTGCTGTCAAGAAGAAACTCTGCAATGCATTTTTGTGCCTTTTATATCAATGTATGTAATCTAGACAATCTTTAAGAGCTTGTGTACAACCAAACTACAATGAAATAAACAGATTTGGGGCAAATAAAATGTTTTTTGTCTGATCCTTGAATTATTGTTGCATTGTGGCAGTGGCTGTCTCCTCCTCTCAGTAAGGCAGTTATGGAATAAACTTTTGATCTCTCAGAGTGGAGTGTGCATGTTCTCCCTGTATTACTGTGGCTGGGTGGTTATCCTGTTTTTTCCACTCAGTAAGGAGGTTGAGGATTAGACTCCTGATCTCTCCAAAACCTATATTTATGTGTCTGCCATACTGAATAATGTTCTGGTAAACTTGTATGCAATCGAATATTATTTTGTAGTTATTTATTTTTTATGTTCATGTTGATGCTGATACATCTCTCTCTCATCCAGGTGGTGATACAGTCTTCCACAGAGAAGACCCCCTCGCCGACATCACCAGACTATCGAACCAAAGGTGCTGACGATGAGAAGCAGCACTTCCACATCCTGCCTCAGCTCCAGGCCAAACGCGCAGACTTCCTCACTGTGGTGCTCACTGGAACATTACCACCACGTCGCAGTTTCGCCACTCCCGAAGACGTCCCTGAGCCTCCAGGACCACGTGACGATGACGTGACCAAGAGCGAGTCCAACAGCGAGGCCAGTCAGAAGAGCACAGAGAGGAGCCAGGAGGCTGCTCACTCAACACTTATGGCAGAAGACCAGAAGGGACCCAAGGTTTGTGATTCACATCAGTGTGTCTGTAAAGTTCCATTGAAAGATAAAGTACCTATCAAATTTCGGATAAACCATCACATTCAGCTAATTTTTTCTGTTTGTGTCCAAACTTCTGACTGGCAGTGTACAGAAATAGATGGTTTCTAGATGGGAGCTAAAATATCTTGATTGCTAATACAGTGTCCAGATGACCAACACTGAAAACTTCTCACATTTAACTACTCTTGGATGAATTAGAATGAATTACATCGTCTCATAAACTGAGAAGATTACAACTGAGTAGCCTCCTTCCTGCCGCTGGTCTTGAACAGTGTTGGATCCGAATGAGTCTAAATAAAGATATGTTTCCAGGTTTCAGGTGCGGAGAATGACCAAGATCTGGAGGATGCTTCCAAAACGCTGGTGTTATTTTCCCCAGGAGACACACGGAAGACTCCATCAGGCGGAGACACTGGTCTGGAACCGGAGCTGGCCACTGCCTGTGCTCTCACTCCCCGAAATGAGCGCCCAATGATGGGGGAGGCACTGCAGCTTGAGCCTCCTGACACTGGACGGCTCTCCCCAGCTCTGAGGTCCGACCTGCGGCCCTCCACGCCCATAGCTCCGGCCTCTCCACCCTTCACCAAAGTGGAGCGAACATTCATCCACATCGCTGAGACGTCACACCTCAATGTTATGTCTTCCAACGGGCATTCGGCCAAAGACACAGAGGTCATTCTGAACCAAGCGGGAGTTGAGGAGCGGCCCAAGTTGGACACGAGTCTAGAGGCGATTCCATCAGAAAATGGGCCGGCCTTGGAGGTCCAAGCTGTAACACCTGTGCAGGAGCTAACACAGACACAAGTAAGACACTGTCACTATTCTACAATAAACTTAAACAGAGATGGACTAAATTTTATGTACAGTACAGTACAACCAGTACAGAAACCAAATTCAAGCCTATTCAGCAGGTTTCAAAGTAGAAGTGGCTAAATTCAGCCAGACAAGTTTGATCTGCTTTCCCACTGAGAAACACGGACCCAGTGCCACACGTATACGTCTTGCTGGAGCAGTCGGTGTGGCTGTCCTTGCATGGCTGTGGTTTCACAAGGTTACGCACGTAAATGCCGATGCGTGCAGTGTGTTTAGGACCTTGGTCTTGAGCCACATACTAGTTTGACACGCACGCGCACACACACACACACACACACACACAGACAGCACAGATCAATGGCAATGTTCCTCAATCATTGGTTTTGAGAGCATTGTGTCAGGGTGTACAACTGCGGTTTAGTCCCACACTCCTGGATGTCGGCCCTCTCTCAACTGAGCCTCTGGAGTCTCCAAGCCTGTTAAGGGAGGGTAAGGGGTGCTTACTGCGTCACAGAAGAGTCTGTCTCACATGTTCAGGAAGACTGTTCCAGGTTTTAGCTGCATGAACCTGAAACGCTGACTCCCCTTGTTTAGTCCTGACTCTGGGCACCAGCAGGAGGCCGGTCCCTGAGGTCCTCAGAGTGCGAGATGGTTCATATGACACTAACATGTCACAGATGTACTTTGGTGCTCAGCCATGGAGAGACTTGTACACAAGCAGAGCTGCTTTAAAGTCTATTCTCTGAGGCACAGGAAGCCAGTGCAGAGACCTGAGCACAGGACTTATGTGCTCGTACTTCCTAGTTCAAGTAAGGACCCGAGCTGCAGCATTCTGGATGTTCTGCAGCGTCTCACAGCTCGTTTGGAGAGACCAGTGAGCAAACCATTACAGTAGTCTAATCTACTGGAGACAAACGCATGGATAAGTTTCTCCAAGTCTACTTTAGACAGTAAACCTTTGATTTTTGCTATGTTTTTTAGATGGTAAAACGCTGCAGATGTTATTGATTTGATGTGGCTGTTAAAGTTCAAGTCTGAGTCCATTATTACCCCTAGATTTCTTGCCTGATTTGAAGGTTTTAGAGAGAGAGACTGGAGGTGACTGCTGACACTGTCCCTTTGTTTCTGTGGACCAAAGACTATGACTTCAGTCTTGTCAGAGTTTAGCTGGAGAAAGTTGTTTTGCATCCACACACTGATCTGTTGGATGCAGTGACCAAGTGACTCCACTGGTCCATAGTCTCCTGCTGCCAGAGAGACGTAGATCTGAGTGTCATCTGCATAATTGTGGTAGGACACATTATTGCTGCTTATTAACTGGCCTAATGGCAGCATGTAGAGATTGAACAACAGGGGGCCCAGGACTGACCCCTGAGGCACCCCACAGGTCAGGGCCATGTGATCTGAGACACAGTTTCCAATTTCAACAAAATACTTCCTGTCTTCTAGATAGGACTTGAACCAGTTTAGTACAGAACCAGAGATGCCCACCCAGTCCTCTAGTCTCTGTAAGAGGATCCCATGATCGACAGTGTCAAAAGCAGCACTAAGATCTAACAGGATCAAGACTGAGACTTTGCCTGCATCAGTGTTCAGGCGGATGTCATTTGTCACCTTGATAAGAGCAGTCTCAGTGCTGTGGTGGGCTCTAAAACCTGACTGGAAAACATCGAAGGAGTTGTTCATTTGGAGAAAGTTCGTAAGCTGTTGGTAAACAGCTTTTTCAAGGACTTTGCCAAAAAACGGCAGATTTGAGATGGGTCGGAAATTGTTCAGTACTGTGGCATCAAGACTGCTCTTCTTTAGGAGAGGCTTAATGACCGCAGTTTTCAACACGTTTGGGAATGTTCCAGATTGAAGTGACATGTTCACTATGTGAGTGAGTGGTGAAAGTAAACTGTTGAGGACGGACTTTAGAAATCTAGTGGGTAACATGTCCAGGCAGCAAGTAGATGAACTCAGACTGGTAACGATCTCTAAAACAGTTTTGTCAGTTACAGGTGCAAAGTGATTCAGCTCTAAGTGTCTCTGTGGCTGCATGCTTGTTATTTGTGTTGTGGAATTGATGGCATTTTTGATGCCCTGAACTTTGTCATTAAAGAAAACTGCAAACTCATTACATTTAGATGTGGAAATTAGTTCTAGTGGCAGTGGAGCTGGAGGGTTTGTTAATCTGTTCACTGTTGCAAACAGGACACGAGAGTTGTTACTGCAATTACCAATAATGTCCGAAAAATACTTCTCTCTTGTTTTACTCAAAGTGTAGTTGTACATATGCATTGTTCCTCTGTAAATCTCATAATGAACCTGGAGGTTTGACTTGCGCCATTTCCGCTCAGCCTTCCGGCACTCCCTTTTCTGTGCTCTGACTGAGTCATCATTCCTCCACGGAGCTTTTTGCCTATCTTTAACCATTTTAACCTTTATCGCGGCGATGGCATCCAGAACATTCAAAACACTCAAAGTCACAGAGTTCAACACATCATCAACATTAGAACATGAGGCAATTTCAGAATTTATCATTTCCATGAACAGTGCACCTGTGTTATCATTTATGTGTCTTCTTCGAACAACTGTAGGAGCAGCCGGTGGTTTGGGAATAACAGACAGGTCAAAGAAGACACAGAAATGATCAGACAGAGCAACATCAACTACACACTGACATTTGAAATATTTACACCCTTTGTAATGAGCAGGTCCAGAGTGTGCCCTCTGTTGTGAGTGGGCTCACTGACATGCTGAGTCAGACCAAAAGTTTCAAGGACAACACTAAGCTCTTTGGCATTTTTGTCACACACATTATCCACATGTACATTAAAATCACCTGTAATGACTAAACCATCAAAGTCTGTGCATACAACTGAAAGCATCTCAGTAAAATCATCAATAAAACTTTGACAGTGCTGAGGAGGTTTGTATATGACTATGTAGAGTATGGACGGTGATTGTTTTAGCTCCATTTTGAAGGAAACATACTCAAATGATGAAAACACCCCAAATGACAACCTGTGTGTAACCAAATGATCTCTAAAAAATGCACACACTCCTCCACCCTTTTTATTTGCTCGTGTTTCAGATTCAAATTTGAAGACTGGATGTTATCTTCTTACAGGGAATGTGAACTAAATTTCTCTGATTAGACAGTCTAACACTCCTTCTTTTAATCCGTCTACGTGTTGTAACTGGAGATATAGCTCCATCGCAGGGCCCCAGCCTGATATTACCTTTATCATGACTGTATGTCCTGGGACAACAGAGGCCCTGTGCGTCCTAGCTCTTGGTGATAACAGCTCTGGGGAAAGGCAGGGGAAGGCGAGCAGGGGAGAGTTTGGGTGAGTGACCAGGTGAGGGACCAGGTGAGGGCCGAGGGGGTGGCCGAGGAGGTGGAATACAGGGAGGTTTGGGTGAGGGACCAGGTAAGGACCGAGGAGGTGGAGTAGGGGGAGGTTTGGGTGAGGGTAGAGCTGAGAGAGTCTCTGGTGGTGAAACAGGCACAGTTTTGTATGGGGGAGAGTTCAACATAGTTGATGTCAGAACCCTTGACCGTGCTATATTAGGTGTGAGAGGAACCATCTTGATTCCCGATCTGATGAGGCTTTCTAGATGGTTGGGCAGTGCCATGGGTGAAGGTGGGGAGGAGAAGGAGAGTGAAGAGTCCGTTGATGGAGTAGATGTAGCAATGGGGACTCCAGGCTGGTCTGTGGGCAGCGGAGGTGATGGGTGTGCTGGTGGCGCTGGGGGAGGTGGTGGTGGTGTAGCTGACTCATTCTCTGGGGGAGGTGGTGCTGCTGACTTATTCTCTGGGGGAGGGGAAGGTGGTGATGCTGACTTGTTCTCTGGGGGAGGGGGAGGTGGTTCTGCTGACTTGTTCTCTGGGGGAGGGGAGGTGGTTCTGCTGACTTGTTCTCTGGGGAGGGGAGGTGGTTCTGCTAACTTGTTCTCTGGGGGGGGGGAGGTGGTTCTGCTGACTTGTTCTCTGGGGAGGGGGAGGTGGTTCTGCTGACTTGTTCTCTGGGGGAGTGGGAGGTGGTGATGCTGCTGAGTTGTTGTCTGGGGGAGGGGGAAGTGGTTGTGGTTGTGGCAGTGGTGGTGCTGTCAATGGTGCTGACTTGTTGGCTGGTTCTCTGTTTGGTGCAGTAGGGATGCTTCTCCCATTTCTCTTTTCTCTCACTGGATGCACAGGACCCTGTCCAGGCCGGTGCCTCAGAGCGTGGAGGAGGTTTTCCGTCAACACTCTCACTCCACCTCTGCTTAGGTGTGGGCCATTTCCCTCAAACAGGTCCTTCTGTTTCCAAAAAAGATCAAAGTTCTCAATGTAGTGCAATCCTCTGGCCGCACACACGTTCAGCAGCCACGTGTTCAGCTGAAACAGTCGGGTAAATTTGTTCCTGTTCCTTAGGTCTATGTTGGGAAGAGGTCCACTGATAAATGTCTTAACCTCCACTTTATTAAGCTCCTCGAATAATTTAGTGAAATCCCTTTTCAAGACTTCACTCTGTTCCATTCTGATGTCCACTGCACCCACGTGCACAATCAGCTGTTTAACCCCTTGGTGTGTTGACAAAACTTTTGGCAGGAGTTTTGTTATCTCAGAAACAGTGTAGGTCGGGTAGCAGCATGTTAGGATTTTTCTGTGACTCACACCACTGATAGCCCCGTCTCCTAGCAGCAACGTATCTCTGACCTTGACGTTTGGCACAGATTCCCGGTATGCCTGCACTCTTTTGCCAACTTTATTGTTCTTGTTTTGTGATGACAGTACATTATCCGTTTGTACGTTAACATCAGTCTGTAACAGTGGTGAAAATCTGTTTGTTAGCTTTATTGTGGGTGATATAACGATATTAGCATTGTCTTTTATCACTCGCTGCGCTGGCTTAGCATTTTGGTCTGTACCAAGTTTTGGAAAAGACACAGTATCACTCAGGTTTAAGTTGAAAGAATTTTCACCCCCTTCTCTGGAAGTCACTGTTGGTTGCTCACCACTGGAAGTCACTGGTAGCATCTGATGAAGTCCTTTTTCAGTTTCTAAAGCAAATATCCGTGCTTGTAGCTCATAAATTTCTTGTTGATAGTTCCAACAGCGCTCACAGATAGAATTCCCTTGGTTTCTTCTCCCCGACATGTTGGCTCATCAGATGATTTGTTAAAAAATGTAAAAATGTTTGAAAGTATTAATTTACTTAAATGGAAATCAAAAATAGACACATTATCAAAAATAGACACATTATCCGTTGTTTGAGGAGGTAAACTGATTAAAAAGCGAAAACAGCAGGAGCAAGCAAGGATAGCGTCCGCACTCTTCAGAAGCAGGAAGTAACTTTATTTATAATAACTTTAATAACTTTAATAATAACTTTATGATTAACCACCAGTTAATTAGAAATAGACCAACAAGAAAACAAACAGGAAAAAGATAGATTTGATAATAAATACTGATTCTGATACCACAATGACACTATTTTCTTTCTTTAGACAATAGAATGCAATTTTCAGCATCAAATTATTGCATGTTCTTTTATTTCACCAAGTGGTCTTATATCTGCATAATCCTTCAGTCGTCCAGGTAGGCAATAAAAGCATCTTATAATTGAATAAATGCAAGATAGATAAGTTTAATGCCATACTGTGGAACATTCCAGGAAAAGCAATAACATCTCCATAGACAAGTAGACTGTAGATAGACACTCTACTATAAAATAAAAATAGTGCACCTTCAAGTAGTTACTAATGAACAATTTATCCAAATGAAATAAATCTATGTTCTTGCGTAATAAAGCCTAAGTCTTAAGGTGTAGTTGTCATCATTATTTCTTTTATAGGAATCGGCAGAGTTAGAGGATGCAACGTCTCGCCCCTCAGAGCAGCCAGCTGCGGTTATACAGAGGGCAGAGGACAGACCCAAACTCCGGAGCAGGATCCCAGTGCTCGTCTCAGAGGAGGACTCTGGCTCAGAGCGCTCCTCTTCGGTGTCAGCCCGGGCGCGTTTCCAGAGGGCTCGGCACATGGGGCTGGCCCGGTTGGTGGTGGAGCAGCAGGGCCGATGGGTGGGACGCAGGAGGGGGCTCTCAGGGACCTCATCTTCACTGTCCTCAGGCGACGAAGAAAAGCGTAACACCGCATCAGAGGACGACCACAGCAGAGGTGGGACAGACATCATAGTTATATTTTGTTTCCCACATGTCCTGGAAATGAAGTAGTGGTAGCAATAGTAAAAAACTGTACTCAAGTGAGAGTAAATATTATTCAAGTAGAAGTACAAGTTAGTGGTCTAAGAAAGTAACAGTATAAAAGTATTTGGGAAAGCAACTACTTAAGTAAGAGTAATTTACAGTGTAACTGTTGGTACATAACATCTGATTTACTGTCATTTAAAGTTAACTGGAAGTACAATATTAAATAACTTGCAATGTGATATTTTTATAGAATAGACACAAAAATGAGTATTGTTGCTTCAATAAAAATGTTATATGCTGCTAGAAAAGTACTCTGAAACTTTCTTTATTTCTTTAAAATGTAACTGAGAAACTGTAACCTCTGAAAGTACAAGCAATACACCAGGCATTTGACTATATAAGATGTTTTGTTTCTGTCACTCATCTTCAGAATACACGTCAGATGAATCCAAGAGGAGCTCCAGGCTGAGGACCACAGAGGAGCAGGGGTCCAGAGAAGGCCGGAGCAGGATTCCACGGCCACTTACCCCAATCAGGAAGCCTGTGGTTGGGCTGACTACTGCAGCCAATCCCCCTCACACAGAAGCAAGTGGAACCAAAGTTACCAGTGGGTATGTGTGGTTTGGTACCTTAGATGCCCTCCCATCCTTTAGAAACCTGTGATCCTGTGTGTCAGATGCTCTCCCATCCTTCTGTATCCATGTGTGTCAGGTCAGTTGCCCTCTCATCCTCCCATCTTTGTAGTGTTAGACTGAAATGGGGGGATATCAATTGTCTCTAGTTAATCTGCAGATGTTAAGGTGTGGTTGGATAAGTATAACGGAAGAATGGAGCTTTGTGGACTTTACGTAGTTTCAAAAACACATTTTGTGCTGCATTCAGTGGCGTCTGTTATTCCCAGTAGTTGGGGACATCACACAAGACTGCCCTGATTACAGACAGGTGTTTCTGATTCCAAACACCTGGCTGCATGGGTGGAGTTTAAAATGTGGATAACTGGATGGAGATCAATCACACTGTCCAATCACACTGTTTTTTATACTTCCAGACCCCACCCCTCTTCCTATCTCACTCTTTTCTTTAGGCAGGCACTGCCCAGTTAAGAGGCTCCATTTAAAATGTGCTCATGGGTGAAGTTTAGGTGTTTAGTCCCACTTTAACAATATTTTCTTTGATTATTCTTCAGGTCTCAGAGAGTACCCCTGACCCCATTAAGCTCTCAACGTAAATCCAGTAAAGGTGTTCCTGCACGCTCCTCATCTAGCTCTGCCCCTCGCTCCGGTGCAGTTTTGTCCAGCAGCACCCGGATGCCTCTCCGCCCCCTCAGCTCCACCCACAGCCGCTTAGACAGCCCAAGGTAAATAAATTACATTTTCTTATTTTTGTTACCTATGTTATTTGTGCTTTTAACTTGCCTTATGTGGTCCTCTGTGTCTTATTTTATTATTGTAAAAAACAACCTTTTTGTTTATTATATCTAATTATAATTTTGTTATTTTTAGTTTTCTGGTTAGTTTTATACATTAAAAGTAGTTCTAGACTTTAGACTTTGGACTTTAGATTAAATGCGTCATTTGGCACAGTGGACAATAATATATCTCTTCACAGATTGGAAACCTGGGCTGGATTTAAGGGGACAGTCCTAAAATAGCTGAGTTCTTTCCTAAAAGAAGGGACATACTGTGTAATTATTGGAAATTATAACTCTATTCCTGTTGCAGTTTTTGTAGGGAGTTCCGCAGGGGTCCATTATTGGTCTCCTGCTTTTCATTCTGTATATGTTGCCCAGGGGCCATCATCCCTGCACACTTACACCTGACACATGGGGTTTTGGAGGTTCACGTTGCTCTTTTCTCTTCCTCGCTGATCTGATGTCCATAGTGTTTCATTCAGTTTCCAAAAGTACTCGGTGTTAAAGTGATGATTGCCACTACATGTGTTGGACACTATATTGTTGTATATACATATATATATATATATATATTATATATATATATATTATATATATATATATATATATAATATATATATATATATATAATTTAATAAAGGTGGCTTCTGTCAGAGCAAGTCAAAGCGGCCAGGAATTGCAGCTACCAAGTTAGCTAAAAAGTTAAACATGACTCCTGGCACATGTATCTTTCTAACCTGGTGAGCTTATTCTGAAAAGATGTCTACACAACGTGAGGACACAGGCTCTGTTGGTGCTGAGTCCTACCCTGAGTCCCCTGAGTACCCTGAGTCCTACCCTGAGTCCTACCCTGAGTCCTACCCTGAGTCCTACCCTGAGTCCTACCCTGAGTCCTACCCTGAGTCCTACACTGAGTCCTACACTGAGTTCAGTCTTACTGAATAAGTTTTTGTTATCTTTTCATTTTGTTTAGAATTTCCCACTCTCTGAACAGTGAATTAAAACATTTGATTATGCAGGGCGGGTTTGCATGCTGACAACTCTGAACGCATTGACTGAGATGAGTGACAGGAGAAAGCAAGAGAGAGGGAGAGACATAGACTGACGTGTGGGCACATGTTTTATAGTTACTATGGCGGTACCCTCAGGACTGGTGTTTGGGTGGGGTGGTAAGGTACTCACTGTACATGCCCATTTAAAACAAGCCCCCCGGGGTGCTGTCTTGTGCTTGCTGTGATGGGAGAGAGAAAAGGAGACCTAGTCCCCATTCAGGTCCAGTGTGTACCCACTGTCAGAAAGAACAGGTTTTAATAGTTTTAGAACGGTGAACTCAGTAAAGATGTGAATAATTTTGGTCATTGAACACTGTCGTGTTCCTCCATGCGTAACTTGGAACAGCCATTTGTATTCAATTGGGACAATCAAGGTATGCACAGTGCATACAGACGTACCCCTGCAGGAGCCACAGTATTACCCTTTGGTCAAAATCTACAAAACTTTAACATGAAATACCCAAATTATCGCTTTTGTCCTGCCGTTCCATTAGTCTACTTAAAAAAAGATCTTATAACGATGATGTATCTCTGTATATCTGACACAAACTGCAATCACAAGACTAAACTGCACACGGGTTCATTTAACTATTTTTGTTGAAAAAAGTATGTATTATATAAAGCCACATTAAACTTATGAATCATCAGTTTACTCATAACTCCCAACTCTGCCCACAGCCCGTCGCCTCACAGACCCTCCAGGCAGCCCACGATGCCTGTAATCCAACCCAAGAACCAGGCTCTGAACATGGGCATGAGGCGCAGCGCTTCCCAGGACACCTCCACATCCCGCCCACGGCCCAAAGCAGCATCGGCCAGCCCCAAAGTCAAACCACAGCCCAGGGAGAGGTCCACGCCTGCCAGATAATACCCACACCTGTCAGAGCTCTCACACAGTATGGAAAACCTGGAGTATAAACCAGGAAAAGCTATGTAGGGTCTGATGTGTCACCAGAGTTATTTATGTTTGTTTAATGATTGATACTTTGCACTTAAAATGACCACAGCTGAGCTGATTTGTACTGTTACACAAATCTCTAAAATAGCATTAAATTCACAAAATAACTAGCATTAGCCAACAGTTTTTCTGTTAGTCATTCTCACCTTTTGGTTCACAATCAATGTTGTTTAAATTCATTTCATAATTTTTCTTGAGTTTTCAGGCCATCTTGAAACTTTTTGGCATAGATATACATGTACTACACCCCCAATGTGATGTCACTGCAAAGTATCAATAGGGATGTAACGGTGCTAAAACAGATAAACAGTAGAGGTTATTATCAACATTCAGAATTTTTAGAACTTTATGTGTCAGTGGTAGTAAAAAGCTTCTATAAAAGCACAAAACACATCTAAAATGTGAAAGAACTGCTACGGTCTGATAACAAATATAAGACAACTATAACTCTGAGATACGCACGCACACGCGCACACACGCACGCAATTGCTGCATCTTAACAGTGATTGTTTTTAAGCCCCTTTTAAGCTGTCTCCACTCTTCACTCTAACTAAATGTGTAAACCAAATATTTTTGCAAGACATAGGACCTATCAGTAATTCCATTACAAACAGGCATCTCCAATCTATTTTCACACCGTTGCATCCCTGCATTTTTTTGTATACTTTTACTTTTTATATTAATATTGACTGTGAGAAACTCCTGAGAACCCTCTCCAAAGCTGCAGGATCGGGTCTTTCCTGGATGGTGAATAATCCGTCTGAGGGCAAAACCTCAAACCTCATTGTTTCAGGCCGGCCACGTTCCTTCTTCAATCATTAAAGGACCTCTCAGTCTGCAACCACGTGACACATTTGCATTTAACAGCATTGTAGAATGGAGTATCAGTGTCAATTATTGTATTTTGTTTCCTTGTCGAGAAATGTGTCTGGCTCAAGGCTAGGCCTGAGATAAACCGGGATCAAACCACAAACCTTCAGCTTAGTGGTTGAATATTTACCTTCTAGACTTAAGAAAATATCAACTGTTTACAAGTTTTCTTCAATGATTTGACAATGACAATGTTGGTGAAAATCTCTACCAAGTTATTTCAAGATAAAGGTACACTATGTATCTTTTCTGCTGCACCACCTGCTCGTCTGGAGCTGTTATTGCTTTGCCTGGAATGTTCCACAGTTTTCTTCCCCACGATGACAAGCAGGTGATGCCACAACCAAGATAAAGGTAAAAGTTATTTATTCAGTCTTATATAGTCTTTAGTAATGCCATAATGTGGAACATTCAAGGCAAAGAGATAACATCTCCATGGAGACAGGCAGGAAGCAGACCCTCCACCAGAAAAGTGTGCAGTGCAGCTTGACTGAAAAATGCATTTAAAATCCTAAAATACCTTTAGTACATGGTTTCTTATGGGTCTGGACAATTTCTTGTATGTTGCTGTTTTAAATGTAAATGTGCTACTGTGGGCGAGGCTCTCTTTTCCCACAGACAGTGAACGTCTTGTGTGGGCTTCCTGTGCTCTGTGCCCTGGTGCTAGCTGCTGCCTCCGACCCTGGTCTAATAAACTCTGGAAATGAAACCCAAATTCTGTTTACAGCGTCTGAGCAAAAACTGACTTAAGCGATGGACAAAGGGACGACGCTGCAAAAAACTGACGCCAAAATATACAAACTTTAAACAGCAGGGTCATTGCACTCCCCTCCTCTAGCTGGCGCTGTCTGGCTTCTCTCAGCTGCAGAAGGAGCATACTGTTTATCTGATAGTGGTATTTTACATTGCAATCTTCTGGACACTGGGGGTCACTACTCACATTAAGTTTACATCTCATGGTGAAAAATTGAAACATTTCATTCTAATCCAAATGATGGATGGTTCCAAAGGGCAGGTGTGTGCATGTGAAGCTTAAAACCATAGCTGCTTTCTGCAGAATTAATGTTTTTTTGTTGTTTTTTAATTGTATAGATGACAAATGAGCTCATTCATTTCACACATGTCACTGAAAAAAACAAATCTGATGGGGCAGTCATGTTTCAGTTCTGGCTTGAGGCCCAACTGAGACCATGGAGATCAGACTGCTATCTCTCTGTTTAAAATATAGACAAAGAGATATCATCATTTAGATTCAGATACACGTGTTTTCAGGTGTGCACAATATCTTAAGCACGATTCAGTGGACCACCCTCACACAGCCAACATGCCCTCATTCAAAATGGAACTTAGCCGTGTGTCAGGCTATTTCATGGGGCTTGTGATTAATAAATAAATGTTTCATAATTAGATGCAGACAGGGCACAGCAGTTTGATAAAAAAAAAAAAAAAAAGTGCTCAGGTATTCCAGCTTACCATCAGTCTGTGTTAAACTTGGACCAAACACCTAAGCTCCACCCACCTCCATCTTTCAAGTAGAGCTGCTAAACTGAGCAGTGCCTGGAGGAACTAAAGAAGAGAGTGAGGGGGAAGTGGGGCGGGTCTGGAGAGATAAAGAACAGTGTGATTGGTCACACTGGTAAACTTCAAACTCTGCCTCTGCAGCCACGTGTTTGTAATCAAACACCGGGCTGTCCTGTGTGATGATACCAAGCACTTACATGTGCTGTGGCCACTGAAGCTAAGACACTTTTTTTTTTTTTACATTTTTGACAAGAAAGCTGCAAATATACCTACTTGGCACTTGGCACTAGAAACAGTAGACAATACTAAATAACACCATATCCACATTATTTTAAAAAAATTTAATAAAATAAATAGTTTTTAGTTCTGCTACACCAAAATGGAGAAGATGCTGGTGAAGAGCTTGTATTTTGACATTTCTTACTCATATTCCATTTCACTAAATCAGTGCATTTGCATTATCTGACTTCTTAAATTTAAAATTATATTGTTACATTTTTAAACCCTGGATATAAAAACTCAATGTTTTTGTCCGTTTTGTTTTGTTTTTTGCTTTGTTTTTTGAGATTTTAGACTTACAAATTCCGATAGTTCTCTTCTATCAGATGGACAAAAGGCAATCAAAAATTCATAATTTTATGGAAGAAAAAGAAATGGTTATGTGGTTTATTTTGTAACTGTCTGTCAGACAGTCATAAAATTTGTATTATTTGTGCAGACAATCAAACTAAGGTTAAACCTGAATATTTTATTTTTCAAACTCTTGTCCAACTTACAGCAAATGCACACATTTATTTGAGATTTAATGAGGGAGAACAAATAACCTATATCTGACCGAGGACCTTGTTTTGAGGGGAGAGCTAACCACTCTGCCACTGTGCCATTCAGCTCCAAAGGCTGAGGTTCTCATTTCATCACAGGGTTTTTGTTTTTCAGGGTTGTTTTGGTCATGTTTTGTCATGATCATGGAAGTATAATAATATAGTTCTTATTATAGATCCACGGTCATGACTGATGTTTTGCAAAAATACCAGTGAGGACAGCGCCCCCTACCTGCCCTCCTCTGGACCATATGCTCTGGACACAGCCTCCTGCCTGGGCCGTACAGTAATGCATGAAGAAGAGTCCCACGTTTATCTGCAGAGCTACAGCTGTGCAAGGGATGTGCGACCGCAACCGTGCCCCCTAGTGGGCACAGTGGGTCTGCCTGATTCCCCCTTTGAAAATATTCTCTTGTGCTTCTGATGGAAACCACTCCTCACTCTGGGCATGCGGTAACCATGGTAACTGTGTTTAAACTGTATATACTGTACACATTTACCATAAGGACCTGTGTGAATGAAAGACACTGAGCTGTGGAATAAAGTCATGGTAATGTCCATCAGCCTGTTTGTTTATTTACCTCTATTTTACTAAACAGTCAAATACAAAAAAAACACAGAGGTAGAATTAATAAACTTTAAGTGAATTTGATTAAAAGTAATGTTAGTAAAAGTAAACCAATGGGTGTATACTATTCTCTATGTGGTCTTAAAGTTGTTCTGATAAAGGTCAAGATCATTCTAAATTTATTCAGGAAAGGAACATTTCTGTTGTGTGAATGTATTTTTAGTATTGATGTACAATTTAGTCTCAATACTAGTTTAAGTATCAACTTCAAGTATCAAGCATCACATTTCTTTCAGCAAGATCGCCCCTCCTAATTACTATTATTTATTATGGTTGCAGACATTTTGAGCATACTGATATAAACGTGTGAGGAGTTAGATATTTTGGCTGCAATAAGTCAGCTAATGGAAATACCACTATGCTCCTAAAAGAGAGAGATCATTTTACTACATTAAAGCGTTTTATTTATACTGTGCATATTTGTGTCTCAGTCATGGTCTCAGTGCACTTTAACAGGAGGATTGGTCAGATCCTGTGTCATTGTAGTTTGAGGAGAATAAGAGCTTAAAAATAAAAAGTTTCAAAAACTACTCAATGTTTGAGCCAGGTAGCTACAAAAGCAGCCCACGAAAAACGAGGCTCAAATATCATTAGATCTATAAATTGTTACTTGTTTCTTAGAGGATTCTGGTCTTTACTTAAATGTAGGGAAACGTGAATGTAATGGCATTATGACCACTCTCCAATGTCTTTATGGTATACCTGTCAAAGACCAAACTATTTTAAACATGTGGTTGCAAGGAGACTTATCTATATTTGGAAGATTATTATCCTCTAAAATGGAAGGTTTGTAGACTTATTTACCTTGCATACTCTATAAATATAGGCCTACCTCAAAAATTAATTAAATAAATTAATCCAAATAATTTCAATTTTCTCTGCAAAAACAAGCACCTCCAAGGGAAATTGACACTGTTAAATCTTGGTTAAAGGGGTAGAATTTTATTTTATTTTTTTAACAAATCTAGGCAGTCTGATTTTTTCTCCCCTCTATGATATTGTCTAGTTTCTGTGGCATTGAATTTCTTATCAAATGTGCTTTTGAGTTGTCAGAGTTTCATGAGCAAGTTCTACAGTACTGGAAAATTATGTATATTCACAATTTGTCAGGACATGATACACCCCTATGGAATAATGTGTATAAAAATCCTTCAATTATACTGTAAAGCCTGGGCAAGGTATATGGTCAGTCTTATATTTAATGGATGACCAGGGCAATCTGTTTGAGTGTACAGAATTTACCAACAAGTACAATGCTGTTTGCTCTAACCAAAAATTTCAGCAGGCTATTCCACGAGCGCTTGTTGGTATTCTTAAAGTTTTTTTTTATGTATACAAGCTCTGTATATTTTTCCCACTGAATATCCCTGAGAGATTCATTGATGTTATGCAAATCCAAGAAGGCCCTTTGGCTTTGCAATAATATTGTACAACTTTTAACCACAGCATTTGATATATGGCTTTCAATGTTATTTATATATTTTGCCATATTATACAGTCTGCTGTCCATTTACTGTTTTTGACATGTTGATTATTTTATAAGCCTGTATGGTTATATATATATATATATATATATATATATATATATATATATAGAGTATACGGTATGTGTATATAGAGTCTATGGTTTTATTCATATTTATAAAGAGTATATGCGGTATATGTATATTCGGTCTATGGTTTGACAGCCGCCAGCTGTGACGTCACATCCGTCTTTACAGACTCGGGTCCCCGGCATTTTATTTTTCTGCTGTGACTGTTTAGTTGTAAATCTAATCGTGTGATTTAATGCTGGTTTGATTGTATTTCAAACGCATACACCAAATTGTGCTGCGCCATGCCTGGATTTTCAGACAGAGACCGCGGCAGGGACAGAGGGTAAGAGAAAGCCTCTTCATTGCGGCGGATGGTGTACCGTGTACCGTGTAGGGCAGCCGCCGCTGTCAAATCAATTACATGTTATTTCCTCTAAGAGGTTTAGACTAAAACCAACGACATTTCTCTTTTAATGCAGTCTATTCAGTTTATGTTTGCATGTAAACGAAAGCAAAATGGCAGCAAGCTTTGTTGTTCTGTGCTTTTGGTTTATTCAGCCTCTTTTTAACCACTGACTGTATAAAGACTCATCCAGTGACGCAGCAGAGCTTCACGAAGGATTGGATTAAGACAATGGCATATTATATTTTCCCACTGTGATGTGTGTCTATTAATACTGTATGCACCATTCAATGACACAAGGCTCTAAGATCCACTGCGCCCCTCTTCTAATTTACATGAACTGTGTGATTGTGTTTTCTCTAAATGGCTTAAAGTCAGCTGTCATATATTATATTTTTTTTAGGTATGGTGGAGGCCCTCCTCGTTTTGGTGGTGGTACAGGTGGAAACAGGGGGGGACCTCCAATGGGAAAATTTGGCAACCCTGGAGAGAGGCTGCGAAAAAAGCACTGGAACTTAGATGAGCTTCCAAAATTTCAGAAGAACTTCTACCAGGAGCATCCAGATGTCACATGCAGGCCATTAGTAAGGGTCACATTTTTATTACAGCTGTATGGTGTAAGTACTAAACTTTTGTTTAATTGTAGCAAGATGTTGAGCAATATAGAAGAAGCAAAGAAGTTACAGTCAAAGGCAGAGATTGCCCCAAACCAATTATGAAATTCAATGAAGCAGCATATCCAAGTGAGTAAAAATATTACACAAAATTATACCTTTTTATTTGTGTATATGGTTTGGTTTCCATTGAGAAAAGTAAGCTGGAGGGGCATGCAGACAGAAGGCAACTTTTGTTCTCACGGCCAGTGTTACATTTTTGGTCTGGTGACTTTCTTAGCAACTCTATTTGCTATATTTATAAAAGGGAAACTTAAATGGAAAGAAACTTCAAATCGCACACAACAATAGATCAAAATACCAGGAAGCAATACAAGGCTAAAAATCACTATGGATCATTGTACAGGTCCATATTTGACTCTCCTAAAGTGTTGGTTGTATTACATGATAAGACTGTCTGTTTTTCTGGCCACACTTGTTGGATGCGGAAAAGCCATTCACAGGAATAACTGTGGGGGTGCAGGTTTAAGTTGTTAGCTGTCGCACCTGTAGTTAATTTGTCTCTGTTTAATTTGTCACACAAATGTGCCAGAGTAAGGTTGTACAGTAGAGATGTCAGTATTTCAGTTCTCTACTGCAGTTATATGCAGGCATATAAGAATAAGCCACCATTCAAATTAAATGTGAGGAACTGCTCTAATGATATACAGTCTTGCAGTCTTAACATCAGATGGGTTTACCGTGCCATTAAAGTTATACTTTACTACACAGCGGTTGTTTTACATTGTCCAAACATCAGTATTTGTGCATCTACTCCAGTCGAGCTATGTTTTCCTCTGGGTACTGTCTGTTGTTTTCCCCCCCATGGTTGCCAAGCCAAGCAAAGTGCCACACAAGTACGGAATACCCGGATGACCAATCATGAAAATACCACAGAGATTTCACGCTTTTTAATGAAAATTATTTGAGCCACTTGTACATCAGTATCAAAATATGTTTTTAAAATGTCTGTAAATTTTTTATTTCACAGGTTATGTCATGGACATAATTGTCAAACAAAATTGGACTGAACCAACTCCAATTCAGTCTCAAGGTTGGCCAGTTGCCCTCAGTGGCAAAGACATGGTCGGTATTGCACAAACAGGGTCTGGAAAAACACTGGCAGTGAGTATTTTTGAATCTCAACTGACAATGCTCAGCGTATTACACAACTATTACACAAATATTACAGTGACCAGCCATTACTGTCATTGACTCCTTTTTCTGTATTGCCCCTCTCCCAAAGTATCTTCTTCCAGCAATTGTGCACATCCAACATCAACCATTTCTTGAGCACGGTGATGGGCCAATAGTAAGTTGATTATTATATTATTAGCATCATATAACAACATTGGTGTTGATGCTACTTTATATACAGGAGTTTTTTCTTATACTCATATAAAGATTACAACACCTAGCATTCATTAATATACACCAGCACTGATTTGTAAACCAAGGTAAATGTGTTTCATTAATAAATTTGTTCCACTCACTTCCTCAGTGTTTAGTGCTGGCCCCAACTCGTGAACTGGCTCAGCAGGTGCAGCAAGTGGCTGCAGAGTACGGCCAACCATCTCGTCTCAGGAGCACATGCATCTACGGAGGAGCCCCGAAAGGTCCACAAATTAGAGACCTTGAACGAGGTAGGTGATCAGAAAAATAAATTCTAAGTTGTAAACCTAACTGAATTCATACATGTGTTGCTTCCAGGTGTAGAGATTTGTATTGCTACCCCAGGTCGGCTTATAGACTTTCTGGAGTGTGGCAAAACCAATCTCCGCCGCTGCACATATCTGGTGCTTGATGAAGCTGACCGCATGCTGGATATGGGATTTGAGCCTCAAATTCGCAAGATAGTCGAGCAGATCAGAGTGAGCATATGGTTTTCTTGAGTAGTAAGTGGTTGTGTACATTGGTGTATTTAGGCATTTGTTAAATGTATACAATACTTTTATTTTCTCCTGTAGCCAGACCGACAGACACTGATGTGGAGTGCCACATGGCCTAAAGAGGTTAGACAGCTTGCTGAGGATTTCCTTAAAGACTATGTTCAGATCAACATAGGAGCCCTGCAGCTCAGTGCAAATCACAACATTCTACAAATAGTGGATGTGTGCAATGACTTGGAGAAGGAGGACAAGTGAGTTTATCCTTAATGCCAAGTTTTTAAAAAATACAGTAAGAATTAATATATTAATATCTGTCGTATCAGACTGATCCGATTACTTGAGGAGATCATGAGTGAAAAAGAGAACAAGACCATTATTTTTGTGGAGACCAAACGACGATGCGATGAGCTTACCAGGCGGATGAGAAGAGATGGGTGAGTATATGTGCTCTAGGACTTCTATTCCTTGATCAATAACTAACTTTGAATCTGTTTTTTTCTGTAAGGTGGCCAGCCATGGGGATTCATGGAGATAAAAGTCAGCAGGAAAGAGACTGGGTCCTTAATGGTAAGATTTTATTATTTATTTTATATTTGCTTCATCTTGTGGGCCCTAAGATGAGAAACAACCTACATATAATAATATTTCCCTTTATACTGTATTTTTTGTGTGCTCTGTGCTCTTGTTTATGAAATATAAAAAATTTACTAATGTTATATAATAATGATGTATACATTTTTAAATGGGTGTGCAATTTTACAAAATGAACATTAACCATACTCGTGTACATTGCCACTGCACATGAAGCCTTTAACTGAAACCTGATGCCTTTAACTGAATATACTTGTCTGTTCCCTTTTTAGAGTTCAGATATGGAAAAGCTCCAATCCTCATTGCTACTGACGTGGCTTCCCGAGGCCTAGGTGAGTAAAAAACTGTTGTAAATGCTTATCTGTGTTACTCTATATCTAAAGAAAGTGTTTTTGCTTTCTTTAACTTATCTTTGCATTTTCTGAGTTTTTCTCACCTTAAGGTGGAGTCTTTGTGGCAGGCGCTAGGCATGACAGTCCCAGGCCTCGAGAGGGAAAAGGATGACATATTGGAAGTGCTCAACTGGCTTGCCACCCAGTGGGCCTAGAGAAGTGAAAGCTCTGTGTGCCAGTGATCATCAAAAGGCTGTGTGGCTAAGCCTTTGTCTCTGATATGTTGACAAAATATACACACATCTGTTCTCTGTACATGGATTTCACCCTACAAATGCCATCCAGCTGTTTCCAACTCAAACCTAAAAGACATGCTAAAAGACTAGATATACTTGATCCTGTTTCTTTTGCCTTGCATGCTCTTAATTAGAGAGTGTTGTACTGTGAGTTACAGTTTGAGATTTGGAACATTACCCATTGGAGTTTGTATTACAGTATGAGTGCTGGTGAGCTTGCTTAAGCCGTCAGTTTTTCTTTGTTGTCAAAGTGCTGGATTTGTAAGATGGAGAGCAGTCTGGAAATTTATGAGACCTGGCACATATGTGTTAGTGGATGGTGGGAAACAGAAACAGAGGAGAAAGAATAAGACGGCAAAAACTAAAGTACCTCCCTCGCCTGTGTTTTTTAGTCATGTCGAGACCTGCCAATGAGAGACATTTTCTCAAGTGAATACTGGCTTCTTCGAAAATCTTGCCTTGATGAGACTAATGGGGGCAGGATATTATTTTTGTTCACTTAGATGTTCCTCAAAACTCAGTGCATGGGCATTTTAAACAGCTCCTGTCTAAATAGTTCTTGGTCTATTATGTCTTGGCAAGACGTGCAGTGTGGCCTATATAGTTAAGCTCTCTTCGGAAGTGTAGTGGGAAAATCGGACCTGGAAAAAAAGGTGCGACACAAAGATCCCATATTGGCACTTGAGGAGACCCCAATGCATATTGTGGCCCAACTGCATAGAAGCTCCTGGATGTCACTTGACAATTTGTGAGGGATTTCGCTGCATTGGGAATGGAATAGTGATTGCATACTCTGTAATGGTAAGACCTGAATCTATATTTTCTCCCTTTGTAAAAGAGGGAGTGGTTTTTAATAACATTTTTTATGGTAAGCAATTGGAGTGTGCATCGTTCCTCTCTTCCCACAGTAGTATTCCCATGGAGTAAATTTGCTGTCTTGTTTTAACATTTCTTTTACAGCTTGGTGATCATTTTCTTCTCTGGTCCTGACAATTGCTAACTTTTTTCTTTGATCTGGCTGTTGTGGTGTGCAAAATTTTGTGTGGCGGTGTTATGTTTTGCCACACTGCAACACTTTCACAGATGTGGAGGATGTGAAATTTGTCATCAATTATGACTACCCCAACTCCTCTGAGGATTATATCCATCGTATTGGACGCACAGCCCGCAGTCAAAGAACGGGCACAGCGTATACGTTCTTCACCCCCAACAACATGAAACAAGCCAGTGACCTCATCTCTGTTCTCCGTGAAGCTAACCAGGCCATTAATCCCAAACTGATTCAGATGGCAGAAGACAGAGGAGGTACAGGCAGAAATTTACAGTTATTCTATGTTGAATGGTTGTTACATGTTTGGGGCATTTGAAGTGACTCATTGTCATTTTTTACAGGTCGAGGAAGAGGGGGTAGAGGTGGCTATAAGGATGACCGCCGCGATAGGTATTCTGGGGGCGGGAGAAACTATGGGGGGAGTAATTACAGAGATGGTGATAGGGGGTTTGGTAATGGGCTGAAGAGTGCCTTTGGTGGTAACAAGGCTCAAAATGGTGGCAACTTTGGTGGAAACGGTGGAAACTCTGGTAGTTTTGGAAGCAGCAATTACAGTAACGGTAACGGACACAGTAATTTTGGGGCACCACCAAACCAACCAGGTCCTTTTGGTAACCAAAACTTCCAGGGGCCTCCGCAGTTTGGAGCCATGCAGAGGCCTGCTCAGAATGGCATGAACCACCCTCCCTTCCCTTTCCCCGCTCAAGCCCCACAGCCACCACCACCAATGGCGCCCTACCCCATGCAACCACCTTTTCCACAGTAAAAATATACGTATGTTAAGGAACCAATATTCTTCCTTTTTCCTGAGTTTTTACAGTATATTATCGTTTGTGATATTTAACTATTGTTTGCTTACAGCTGGATTGAGATTATTCAGTAAAACCAGCTAATTTAATGGTGCCCTTTGTGCATCTATAGTGCTGCACTTTGTGGACAGTTTTGTGTTGCATTCCTCAGTTATTTATTTTTACTTGGTAATGCAATGTTATAATTTGTTTGTGGTATGTTTAATGTTTAAACTATAAAAGGTGCAAGTTGCCCTTTTAAATAAATAATAATAAAAATAATGTGTGTTGTTATTTCATAATACACTTGTACAAAAATGTTGGTGTGCACAACATACACAGCAAATTCATGTGTTAAATTCACAGTGTTGGTGTTGTTGTGAGTAAAGTGAATAAAATCCAGATATGTTTCAACATAGTCAAAAGTTATTTCAACTATGACAGTGCTGTAGAGTAAAATAAGTAGTTGTTGATTCACAGTGTTGCCATAAAATGAGTAGAAATAGATATAGAATAGCACAGAAAGCCTTTATTGTCATCATACAGTATAATGAAATTCAGAGCTGCTCTATCAAAGTGCAAGAATTAATAATAATAATAAATAAATAAAATAATTTACAGTTACCATTCAATATGGGATATCTTTGGAGAAGAAGCTGTCCCCGAGTCTATTGGTCCTAGCTGGAATTGACCTAAAGCAACAGGTTGAACAGGTGTAATCCAGGGTGTGTATAGTCTTCAGTTATTTTCTTCGCTCTGCTGCGACAGTGGGAGTTGTATAACGTGGTTAAGGAAGGCAGAGGGCAGCCAATAATGTCTTGTGCAGTGTTGGTGACCCTCTGCAGACGCTTCCTGTCAGCCTCTGTGCCACACTGTCACAGCAGAGGTCAGCAGGCTCTCAGTGGTGGAACGATAGAAGGTCACCAGCAGCTTGTGTTTAGTTGTTCCTTCCTGAGCACCCTCTGGAAGTGTAGCCGCTGCTGGGCCTTATTGACCAGTGCTGAGGTGTTGACTGACCAGGAGACATCCGCAGAGATGTGAACCCCAAGGAAATTGAAGGACTCCACTGCTACACACTTTGTAGTTGTAGTTGTAGTTGCTGATTCACAGTGTTTCAAACACTTAGAAAGTGTCTATTTTGAATATTGCACTACATCAGTGTTGGGCTTTTGTAACGTTTCCAGCGGGAGAGCTACAGTCCGAGAAAGAAGCCACATTTCACTGTCCGAAGCTAAACTAAGCTAAGATAACAACGCAAAGCCAACAGCTAATAGCGTTTGTTTTTCAGCAGAACCTGAACTCAACGAACCTCAAGTTCAACCACCTGAGCCCTCACATGCCCCGGGTCAGATTACTTTACCTTTTTAAGACACTCTGCAGTTAATATAATTCATAATAATACTAAATATATTTGGTATAATGCTAGTAGTAGTATTGAGTAGTAGTAAGCTAACTAACTTACCTGTGACAGTCAATGTTGAAGTCACTGATGTCCATAAAATTGGGTAAAATAGCCACAAATTGTACTAAATTAAGAGTAACTTCACTTCAAAAAAATATTTCTCAAGTCTAAGTAAAAGGTAGAAGTCCAAAAAATGTGTTAAGTAGCTAAGAGTAAAAGTATTCAGGGAAACTACTCCTCAAGTAACTGAAGTTAAAAGTAACTGGACAAAACATCTGATTTGTCTTTTAAAGTTAATACAGTTGCGAGGATAAAACATGAAATAGTACTCATGTCTGGTATTTTCACAGTGACAAGAAAGTACAATATCTGTAAATAGTGACTCAAGTAAATGTATTAGGTCATAATACATTACGTCATTGTAAAGCTTGTGACAGGCCTGCCCTACACTCAGAGCGTTTTCACACCGCTAGTTCGATTATTTGGTCCGCACCAGGCATAAAATTGTTATTATGTAGCAAATACACCCCAGAGTGGTCTGCTTTCACACCGACAAGTGGAGAATTATTAAAATTATTTGAATCAAAAGTTTAGTAGTAGTATTCAAACAAAATATCTTCAAGTATAAAGTCTTACCAAATACAATGTCTTAATATGCTATTGACCTTTAGTCAAAAAGAGTAATGATGCATTCTTACAAAGGCTACAGTGGAAAGATGAAGGCTCAAAGCATTAACCATCTTGTCAGAGATTTGCAGGTATGTCATTAAATGGTTAAATGTAGAACTGAAATGTAACCTCACCAATAATTTCATAACTGACTATTGAATTTTATATATGTGCTAGTAGTTGTACTTTTTGCCTTAATCTCATTCTATTTTTGTGATTAATGGCATTTAGATGTTTTGTTTCTTGTGGGTCTTGCATTTAAAAATAATCTCTTCTAAGGGGCTACATTTTTTTCAAATAACCCTTCAAGTTATTTATTTGAATGGTTCCTGTATACAAAAACATACAGCTCATGCAACAGAATAACCTGTTTAATAGGAACAAACAAATAATGATATATGCACCATAATATATTTACTATATATTTACTTTTTAATTTTTATTCATGGCTCATTAAATATTGCATAGCCCATTTTGCAAGGTGTTTACTTGAATATGTTATATTTCTTCTATTCTATATTTTATTTTACAGATTGGTATGGACACATTTCTTGCTGGTTGAGCCTGGATGGCCGTTCTACCTGTGACTGAAGTGGGAAGGGGTTATTTTTTGTCATCGTTGACCTGACTGAATTTGGTGTACACTTCAAGGCACTTGGTCCCCAGACTCACACAAACTTTACATCTGTACTCTACATCTACAACATGGACGTTGGATGTGTCAAAAGAAACCCCAAGAGTGAAAGACTGACTCTTGAGGTAAAAAGTTTCTGCCTCTATTGTAAGCATTATGCTTATATAAAGGAGAGAAGAGTCTTTGTTTCAAACAGTCAGACAACTGTTGAGGGCACAGAGAATTCCTGCTGTCAGTTGGATTTTGCAAAAATAGTATTGTGTCATATGACTTGTTTAAATTGTGTTGATTGTATGATGTGCATTGTTTTAATAAGCTGAAGTTAAGATGAAATTGAGTTTTGTGGTGGTAAAAAAATCAAATCTTAAGCAGTGTCAAATTCAACTATGAGGAGTGTGGTTACATCACTTTCCAAAGTGTAGAAGGCTCAACACTGGTAAAGTGTAGTTTTAACTCATTTTGTTATGGACCCCATATGACATTGGTAAAAGTGTTTAAAATGAACAATATACGAGTTGAATTAACACTCTTGAATTTGCTGTGTGCACCACATTGTATTGCATTAGTAAAACATACTTCGCAGTCATGTTTTTATTTTATTTTTGTAATTGTGAAATGTGGCATAATCAATGGAACCTGAAAGTAAGTGGATGAGGAAACAGGAAAACAGATATTTTAATTTCTAGATTAAGGTTTGGACATTGAGGATTAAACTATACTTTACATAAAATAGGAAAACATAATTGTGGGCATTGTGATTGTGACCAACCAGGAACAGTAGGGCATGTATTTACGGATTGTAACAAATGTACAGAGGAAAGAAATATAATGAAGGAAGGCATCATGGACCTTAAAATTTAATTTAGATTAATAAAACTATTACAGCAGCACCCAAGAAATAGTAGTTTCAAAGTTTTATTAAAGTTTATTAGGGATATTAATTTAATTAACAGGATTTGATATTTTTTTTTGTTTGCTTTAGTTATTATTTGATCACTGTTATTATTATTAGTAGTCAGTGTTGGGGAGTAACAGATTACATGCACCGGAGTTACGTAATCATAGTACAAATTATGAGTAACTGTATTCAGTTACAGTTACTGTTTCCATGAGAGGTAATTGGATTACAGTTACTTTATTGAAATAAATGAGATTACATAGTGGTATTTTCCTGTTTTCACATTTTGGGCTATATCCCTTTCTTTTTTCTTTTTTTTTTAACCAAGTCTAAACCAGGACTAATTCAGGATTGAACCAGGACTGAACCCAGGACTAAAACCAGGTCTAAACCAGGGCTAAAACCAGGTCTAAACTAGATCTAAACCAGGACTAAAACCAGGTCTAAACTAAATCTAAACCAGGTCTAAACTAGATCTAAACCAAGTCTAAACCAGATCTAAACCAGCTCTAAACCAGGACTAAAACTAGGTCTAAACCAGGTCTAAACCAGGGCTAAAACCAGGTCTAAACCAGATCTAAACCAGAACTAAAACCAGGTCTAAACTAGATCTAAACCAGGTCTAAACTAGATCTAAACCAGAACTAAAACCAGGTCTAAACTAGATCTAAACCAGGGCTAAAACCAGGTCTAAACCAGGGCTAAAACCAGGTCTAAACCAGATCTAAACCAGAACTAAAACCAGGTCTAAACTAGATCTAAACCAGGACTAAAACTAGGTTTAAACCAGGTCTAAACCAGAACTAAAACCAGGTCTAAACTACATCTAAACCAGGTCTAAACTATATCTTAACCAGGACTAAAACAGGATTTAACAGGACTAAACCATGCCGTGTGGACCGTGTCTCCTCTTCTATCAATAATATTTTTAATTTGGTTCAGGAAAGTCAGGGCTTTTTATTTTCTTTTAGCAGAAAAAACATCTTATGTGAAGATATCCTAGTCTTTGCTTCTCTACAGAAAACCAAGTAATCCAAAGTATTCAGATTACATTACTCACTTTAAGTAATTTAATGGATTACGTTACAAACTACATTTTGGGGTAAGTAATTTGTAATCTGTAGGGGAATACATTTTAAAAGTAACCTTCCCAACACTGTTAGTAGTAGTAGTAGTATTTTATTTATTAGTAATTCGCATTTCAGTTCACAGTCCTTATCAGTTGGTGGCGGCAATGCACCTTTAGTTGTTTGCTAACCGCCAATAAAACTCTAGAAGAAGGAAGTGGATGAGTAGTTCCGGTTCACTATCTTAGCACGCTTTTTGACAGTAGCTATGTTGACATACAGCGTCAGGAGGAGTGTGCTGTCTAAGCAGTTAAACATTTTTAAAACTTCAGCTCATATGTGTTCACCCGTGCTTCTACAGTTTCACAGAGGACGGTGCGACATCACCGGCAGCGAAATCAAAGAAGAGGTGGAAGCAGTGTTAAAGCTGTGTGCGGACAGAGGTTATATTTGTGAGGCTGACCAGGCGTTGTGGAGAAGAGGGGTGACTTGTGGGTACGGTCCCCTGGGTGCGGAGCTGAAGAGAAATCTGCTGGAGAGATGGTGGGAGTCTGTTGTGAGCTCCAGGGCGCACGTGTTTGGGATAAACAGTGTGAGCTGCTCCCCGGACAGGGCTGGACTTGGCCACCTTAAAAAAGTCGAGACTAAACAAATAAGGCGAATACTGGAACAACAAGAACTAAGCAGAGAACAGATCATTGAACAGGTTAATTTACTTCTACAGACGTCGCCATCACTAAGAACAAACTTTTTCCAAGGTTAGATTTTATAAATGAAAGGTCCTATATTATGCAAAATGCACTCTTGTGGGCTTTATGCCATGTTATAATGTCGTTTCTTCATCAAGAACATACCTGGAGTTGTGTTTTGTTTCATTCACACGCGTTTGATTGATCCTTTATTATTAGATTCAGACTGTCTACCTCTCCAAAGCTCAAAATGCTGTGTTCCACCTTGTGATGTCATGTAGTGGTAGTTTACAGTTAACAGTAGAGATTGGCAATACCAAAGCTAAAATTATCCAAATGATTTTAGTGGACGCATAATATAGGCCCTTTAATTCTTGAGTTAAGTGAGATCTGATGTTTTTAACTTGTCTGCTGACCTGGTATCACACATATTGTCAGGTGCTTTGGAGCAGTTTGTCCCTTCTTTAGAGCTGGTCAACAGAAAGCTGCCGTTTGGCCTGGCTGAACATGGGATGTGTTTCAGTGGACCCACGTGTGGTTGGTGAGATTTGTTGTTTGATTTATCTTGTGAGCAGGCTTAAATGCAGATTTTTGTCTCCTTTTTGATTGTAATCTAAACCTTTAACAGTTAACAGCTTTTTTCCCTCAGGACTGATGCCATCACGCAGACTTCTCTTGTATGGTTCTGTTCTCCTCGTACTTCATCCCAGTGGTTGGATTTCTGGGCACGACAGAGGCTCCAGTGGTGGAAAAAAGTAAGTCTTGTTGCTAATTTCACATGTCTAGTGAAGTTTAGAAAGGTACTAATAATTAATGCACATCAGCTTTGTGGAGTATAGAAGATAAGGGATATTATAAGAATCCTGTCTTCCATCTTTTGCAGTTTGCGCTTTCCCCGTCAGATTTCAGCAGTAGTGACGTTCCAGAGGAGGAGCTAGAGCTACCAGCATCACGCGGAGTCAAAATATTATATAATTTTCCATGGGGTCCGGAGTCTCTAGAAACTTTGTGGAGCAGAGGAGACACTGAACTACTGCAAGCACACAATGGGATCCGCTCAAAACTACAGGTAATTAAACTAGCTTCATGCTGATTTTGTTTCAAAAAGTGAGTATGTTCTCAGCATACCTTAAGAATTTATAATTAAGAATACTATTATTATTTAACTTGTGCAATGAGATGCAGAGATCATTCAGCCATGTAAGAAGTGTTTTATAAGTATATTTTGGGGGGCACAGCTGTTGGTTTCAGACTGTATTGTAGATGTTTTCCTCCGTTGTTCAGTGTCGAGATGGGAGAAAGTCAGTGCCTCATGTTGTAACAGTAACTGCCAATATGGACCAAGGTGTCATGGCTTTTCTATTTAACTCGCTACAACAACAGAAGAAAGAGGACAGCAAGAGAAAGCTGCATCAGAGGAAGGTGACATGTGTATAACATAATAAGTAGTTGATTATATATATTTATATATATTTTTTTACATATTTTATGTTCTAGTTTATTGGTTTTAGGTTCTTAAGTTGCATCCCATCTTGACTCCAATCAAAGTGGCTTTGGACATTGGAAGGGGATCCACAATGGAGCTGCGTCAAGTATGCCCTCGTTCAAAAAACATAGATATCCCAACATCAATATCTGCTAACAGTTAAGTGTTTTTAGGTTTGTGAAGGCCTACTTCATGAGCTGCTTGAGTCCAAGATCTCTACATGGCCTGGGTATCTTGAAACAATGCCAACATCACAGGAGCAGCTCAATGCCAGGTAAGTTATTGATTTTATTTTATTTTTTTAACCTATATATCAAAACATGGTATATTGTTTTGAATTCTCCTCTAACATGGCTCTTATAATTTATTTTACCAGGTATGATGAGATGGGAGTGTTATTCACCACTGTGATAAATGAAAACACTCTTGAAAATGGCCTTCTTCAAGTCCGTAGCAGGGATACAACAGTCAGAGAGACTATGCATATTTCAGAGATCAAGAGCTTTCTGTCCAAATATGTTTCTGCTGCTCAGCACACCTGAAAATGTTTGCTCAATATTTTACAATATAATAAAGTCATTATACACTAAATCACTGTTCAAGTGCCAGAAAATTCCACCCAAGGACATTGATCAAAAATAAATCTATCATAAAATTCCAGGATAAATCTGTTTCAGTTCATGATGGTTTGTTGTTCATAAACAGTTTCACAGGTAATTTTCTCATCTTCTTTCATTCTGCTAATCTATGGTTAGTATATTGTCACAAGACTATTATTAAATCTCACTCTGACAAGTAGCCTCATTCAGTAATTGTAAAGAGGCACTTGCAACTCAGTTCTCCAAACGTTCATGTTTGTGTTTTTATTCTGGACATTCATTTATAATTTATATTAATCATGATAATAATGATCTAAGTGAGTTTCAGTGTCGCTAATACAGAATAATAAGTAGTGAGTGTTTCTCGGGGTGTTCTCGCGGTATCGTGCACCGTAGCGCAGCCTGCTCCGCGCATTGGTCATTGGTCTCTTCTGTTCCTGTTTGGTGACTCGGGGCATGTGTCTGCAGCTTAGCTTAGCATTCAGAAATGGCCGCAGATAAGCAAAACGAAGCCAAAGTTTCCTCAGTGGATGAAAATAAAGAAAATCTGGCAGAAGGTTGCCTGGGATTGGAAAGTATCCTTTGCAATAAGAAATGCTATGTTGCCATTTTTTATTCTGTCGGAGTAGTGCTGAGGAGGAAGCTAAAGTTAGCCACTAGCTAGTCCATGGGATGAGGTTAGCGCAGTAAGGCGACGTGTCACAGCGACGCTTTTGATTTTTATTGCAGAAAAAGCTTCAAAAGAAAGACCAATGTTAGATGAGCGACTTAAATTTGTTTGACAAAAGCAGTATGTTTGCCTTGTTAATAATATTTAAATATATGTCACATTCATAGAAACTAACTGCATATCTTGTTTTCAGTAATGGTATTCTGTATGCTCAGTACTTAAAAACACAACACGAGTCTCTCTGTACCTGTTTTGTCTTGACTAATTATCGCAGTTTTGCAAATAATTAAAGAGTCACAGCAGCAGCATGGGCTCAGACACGGAGATTACCAGAGATACAGGTGAGATGTGGCCTGGTGCTGGCCATTCACTGAAACAGAAGTATCCTGATGAATGAATGGTTGAGAATTGCAGTGGCAGATTTGTCATGTCTATAGAGGGCCATAATATAGACACTGGCTGAAATCTGATTAATATCTATATACCTATAAAATCACTCAAAAGACATGCATACTGCAGAATTGATGTGAGTAATCAATAGCACTATGATCAGAAAGATCTGACAATAAACAGATTTTGAGTGTCCATATATTCACCGCCATTGTTCAGTAAGCATTGTTACCTTTTTATTTTATTTTTTATTTTTATTAGAGGATACTGTTCTCGAAGGCTGCGTAGGTTGCGCAAAACTCTTGGATTTAAGATGGGCAATCGACATAAGTTTGTGGGAAAGAAAATTACAGTTGAAATGCTCTCTGACAGCAGGTGAGTTTTGTCTATTAGTAACTAGGTTATATTCCATTACAAATGAAGATTTATCGTATTCCTTTCTTTTCCGTCCAGATACCTTTTGATAGTTCTGATGGAAGCTGAACGAGCATGGAGTTATGCCATGCAGCTGAAACAGGAGGCTAATACAGAGCCAAGAAAACGTTTCCATCTGCTGGCACGGTTACGCAAAGCTGCCAAGCACAGTGAGAGACTGGAGAAGCTGTGTGAAAGCCCACGTGTTGATGCAAAGACTAAACTGGAGGCACAAGTAGGTTCAGACCTGAACATGTTTAATACATATGTTTTCATTTACTATGTAAATGTAATTGACCGAACTGATGATTAGGTAATTAATAAACAACTTTTTATTATTCACAGGCGTACACTGCATACCTCTCAGGTATGGTTGAATTTGAGTTGCAAGAGTGGAAGCATGCTATGGAGGCTTTCAATAAGTGCAAGTATGTTATGTTTGTTTAGTACTGAATTAGTTTAGTCCACGTATGCTGTTTGTACTATGTATATTAAACAAACTTGCCATTTTTTATTTATTTTTTTTGTCAGGACAATCTATGAGAAGCTTGCCAGTGCTTTCACAGAGGAGCTGGCTGTGCTGTATCGTCAGCGTGTGGATGAGATCTCTCCTAACATCCGATATTGTGCTTATAACATTGGTAAGGGTCACTAGAGTTGAGCAGTGTTTCAGAGCTGTTTTTCTATTTTTCACATCTTTGATTTTAGGGGACCAGAACGCCATCAATGACTTGATGCAGATGAGACTGACAGGCGGTGGTGGAGGCATGATGGCTGAAAAACTGGAGGTATTCTTATTTTAGGTTAAGAGGTGTATGAAAAAAAGCTCACACTGAAAAACTGATGTTTTTCAGTGAGAAAATGACCATCTATACTTGCTTTACATATTATCTATTTTATAGGCTCTCATCACTCAAGCTAGGACTAAGCAAGCTGCCACCATGAGTGAGGTAGAATGGCGAGGACGGACTGTCCCAGTCAAGATTGACAAGGCCCGCATCTTTTTGCTGGGTCTAGCAGACAACGAGGCAGCCATTGCTCAGGTCAGTATTTGGTTTTTAGGGCTTATTTCCACGTTGCTCATTGTTTTAAAGAAGCCAAATAAGGCTTTAGTTAAAGTGATGGTATTATGCTTCTATGAGTTAGTTATTGCTAACACATAACATTTAGATTACCTTGTAACCTTATGCTGGTTTGAAAATGTTTATATCAAACATTTTGTCTATAACAAAGATTCACAGCAACCATGTTTCCTTTTAAATATTACTATTTATTAATCTCTCATTTACCATGATTATGATTTACAGTTCCGTGTGTGAGTGCACAGCTCACCTCTTCTACATCGTTATATTTGGTTGGCTGACACTAACATTGCCTTCAGTTATGTGAACACACAAGACTCCATTCAGAAAATCTTGCGGTGGCAGAACGACTTGTGAACCGCCCCTTGGTAATACTCCTTATCCAGACACACTCATGTCTGGGTTGGTCTAGCCAGGTTAGAAAAACTTCAATTGGCTGAACTTAGCCAGGATAATTTGGCTTCATAGTTCATGCCTCTGGTCTCAAGCTCAGTAAGAGGTAATTAAGCTGTAAGTAAGCTATTTTTTGATGGGCATCTGTGTAACACTGCTATTTGCTAATTTCCTATTGAATTAGCTTATTTGCCCTTTTTATTATCAATGAACAAGATGTTGAATTCAATCCCCTAAATGCTCACTAGGTGGCACACTGGAAGACCACCCTTTTAACTGTTCCATTCACATAAAAGGAATGTACACCCGGCAGAGGTTACACTAACACGCCCAAATGCTACTCAGATCTGTGGCATGCAGCCAGCCTCATGGCACGACTGCATTCTAAGCATTTCACACAGCACACAAATAAAAGGATACACACCCTGCTGGTCTTCTGGGCAGATGATCTTTATCACTCCTATTGTTTTTTTGTTTTTTTTTAAACCAATAGGAGTGATAAACTGTGTTTGGCATCTTAAATTAATTTGAACTCTTCATACCTGTGTTCTTTACACTATACATGCTCTCAATTAATTTTTTTTAAGTATATTGTTTAGCATATATATATATATTTATTTTTTTTTTTTCGTAAATGCCTATATAACTGATGGCTATGGTAAACCAGAGCAATAGCAAGTTTGACGTTTTTGCAGTCAGAATTGGAGGTACTAGGTCATACCTGAAGGCTCCCTTTACTCATTTCCTCTTCTAATCACTTAATGCATCTCCTTTTGCTCCTCAACAGAAGATGCTTAACCGGTCTGGCTGGTTGTGCTAGGCGTTACCAGGGTGTTGGCAGCAGAGTATGAGGCTAAATAACATCTGCCCTCTGGGCGGATGATGGCAGTGCTGTGACCCATCTTTCAGCTATTACTACAAGGAATTTTTCGTAGCATTCCTCTCCCATCTGAAAGGGACCAGACATTCTTGTGGCAGTCTTGCCATCTAAGAGAACAACTAAAACTGGTGAAATCCCTAAATTAGGAAGTGTTTTTTTTTTAATTATTATTATTTTCAGTCATCTTTGAACTTAAGGTACTTTCACACCAGATTTGTCGCATGGGAATCACTTGAGCAATTTGCGAGCGATTTACATGTTAATCCTATGTAGACGCTCATTGGCACACGACTAAAGTGCCACAGCGCATGTCATGTGGGAGGTGGGAAGGATTTTCGTAGTTTCAGGCGAATTGAGCGACACAAACAATGCAAACGATTGCGTGAACAACAGGTATTAACAATGAGCATTTAGCGCAATGGAAGCACAGAGCGACTAGTGCGAACTGTGAAGCCTAACTTCAAACATATGATTCTGCTTTAACTCAGCTGCTACATGTCATATTTTTTAAAAAGTACAAAGTGAAAATTTCAAAGTCTATGTTTGTCAATTAAATTCTAAGATGTAATCTGAAGCTTATCCATCCATCCATCCATCCATCCTATCCAGCCTATGCTAACCAGAAAATGTTTACTGACAAAAACAAAGGCCAAAAGAACAAAACATGCATGACTTACCATTTAGAGCCACTACGGAGGAAAACATCTATTTATATCCACCATAGAGTCATTTCATCCTCTGCGTCATGTGTGCCGAGAATTTTCACTGGCTTTCATTTAATTATACAGGTTCAAAAACTTTAGATTCTCTTCCAGGATTTCCACACATATAGAAGAAGGTTTTATCTTACAAAACAAGGAGATTATCCTGAAAATGGGGCAGCCTGTCCCACTGAACCATAAGCAGTGAGGCTTTACCTGCAGCCTTGGTAAACCAACTGCCTCTGACTGACCTCCATGTTAAGTAAGGGTAAAAGACCACAGACCGGGGAGCATCCACAATCCAACGCGATCTCATACCCAGACCTTTTCATCTGTGTTCAACTTTAGGCCAGGTGACATGCGGTGATTTTTACAGCTGGTGATGCAAAGTGTAGGCTCAGAAATGTTGATGCGCTCTATGTTGCTTGTTTTTACACATAAAAATCACTAATAAAAAAAACGAAATTATTTATTAAAACTTAAAAAGATACAAAGAACAAAGTATACAGTTTATAAATGACAAATCGGGGTCTTGAACCCAGAATGTCCACATGAAATATGAGCGTCTTAACATAGTCAAACTCCATAATGTAGTGGAAAGCTTGAGTGTGGGTGAATAATGTTACATATTCTTTATTTATTCTTAATGACACTGACCAGGTCTTTATTCTCAAAAGAACTGGTGAGGCACTGCCTCCCCTGCTTTCCCTGACCTCATGTCATTGGTTCTCCACCTTATTGTCTCTCCTCCCCTCTGCTCTCCACCGGGCAGCAAATGCAGTGGCATGCTGCTTACTGTCTGCTCGTGCCTTCAGTCAGACGCTCTTCCCTTTTATGATGCAGGAGGCAACCAAGGCAACTGTATGTCTTGTGAACAGAGGGTTTAATTCACGCGTCTGAAGCGGTTTTAAGCAAATGTTTCCGAGGCACATTGGCTGCTTTAGACTTGTCTATGATTTAGCATCAGAGAGCAGCCTGCTGGTCCACATACCAGTGTTTGTCTTCCCTTTTTGCTACAGTCACATTCCTGTACAAAAGCCTACCTTTCTGTATCCGACACCCTCAAGCAGACTTCGTGATGTTTAATCTCAATGTTGCTGCTCATGACAAGGCCTTATAAAGTACAACTTGTTCGACCAGTCGTTAAGGGCTTAACTTATATTTTTAGCATGATTGTTAAATTATAATTTGAAATTAAATAGCAAATTTATATATATTTATAATTTTTTATCTGACTGATTTTTTTTTTTTTTAGGCTTCCAATGAGGAGACCAAAGAGCATCTCTATGAGACCTTATTGGCTGAGTGCAGAGACACCATCCAGGCTGTAAGAGAGGAACTAAAAACTGAAGCGGTATGTCATCTGAGGTCAATTCTGTGAAAGGGTTTATAAAGTGCAAGATGTTACTATGTTTGTTTGCTTAAGCAGAAGCAGCGAGAAAGAGGTTCTGAAGAAAGTGGGAAGGTGTCCAACATGCAATTTTTGCATAGGTAATTGTTTTTATTCAACATATGAAACACCCTCACTGTAAACAAGCACTAAATGTCTTTTCTCTCCATGTACTCAGTTATCTGACCTATATCAAGCTGTGTACTTTGGTAAAGAGGAATGAAAGCATGGCCCATACACTGCAGGCTAAACTGAAGGAGCCTCAGACTGACGAAAAAAGAGGTCCTCGCCCACAGGACCTTATTCGCCTCTATGACATCATCCTGCAGGTACAGATTTCATTTAAAGCTCTAGTACTGGTCTAACAGATGTTATTTAATATAATACATTTTATTCACATTTTACTTCCTTTGGGTTAGTTCTTGTTTAGAATTATGTAGTAGTTGTGTTGTTGTGCTATTTTAGACCTTGTTTAGCCCTAGCTGCCCTGGCTTGTTTAGATTTGGTGCTCATTAAATATTTGTCATCCTTTGGGCTAATCATTATTTTGGACTACCTTATAGTATAATTTTAGACCTAGTGTAGGCTCACTTTTTGAGAACCACTGATTGATAAGCTGTTTTCAAACGTCAAAGTGCAATGTTTGGCACAGATTTTGGGCTGTCAGTGTTACAGGAGTATACTTCATCTTGTTTGACAGTCTCTCTCCATTTTGTCTTAAAGTGGTTCTAATTTTAATCCTTTCTGCCTCCAGAGTTTGGCTGAGCTGTCAACTCTGCAGGGTCTTGAGGATGACCACACCTTTCAGAAGGAGGTGTCCCTGAAGACACTGGTTTACAAGGCTTACAGGTCTTTTTTTGTAGGGATGTAATAATAACTGAAATATCGTGATATCAGATTGTTAAAGGTGTCAAAATAACAACGTGGACCATCACAATATATCCAATTATATCGAAGTCTCTTCGCTTAAATTAATAGTTATGGTGCAGAAATTAAAAAAAAAATTTAAAAAAGAGGGAACTACATAGATCATGATTCTTTTCTCCGTTTCAGTGCAGACTGAACATGTTATAAATTTTATAAACACTTTTAAATCTTAGTTCCTTGGACTAAGTCCAAGAGGAAAAAGTAGCATATTTAGTTTTGTTAACTCCACAAAATATGGCAATAAATATTGTACCAAGAGATTTAGATATCGTTACATCCCTACTATTTTGTCATAAGTACATATCTTCACATAATTGTCTTTGTTCAAACCTTAATGACCATTTTTGCTCCCAAAGGTGTTTCTTTATAGCCCAGTCTTATGTGCTGGTAAAAAAATGGAGTGAGGCCCTGGTTCTGTATGAAAGAGTTCTTAAATATGCAAAGGAGGTCCAGTCAAAGGCTAAAGGATTTAACAACAGTCTTAAGGTTTGTTCTGTCTCTTAACTATAATGACAAAGCATCAGAAATTCCCTAAAATCACAGATTCCTTTAAAATTTGTCTAGGATTTGCCTGATGTCCAGGAACTTATTGCTGAGGTCAATGCTGAAAAATACTCCCTTCAAGCGGCTGCCATTTTAGGTGTGTGGTTTTTTTTTGGTTTTTTTTTAACCTTTTGCTTCATGAGTTCTCCTATTTGAGTCTGTGGTTAATTTAGTTTTTATTTTGTGTTTTAGATACAGATGAAAATGTCGAAGTTCCAACTCAGCCACAGGTTAAGGACACAACGGTAAGACAACAGCATTTTCACAAAGACATGTCGGTAACTCACATAGGCAGTTGTGGAAGAAGTACTCAGTTTTGTTACCGACGTAAAGGTACAGTTACAGGAGTTAAAAAAAATACTCAAGTAAAGGTATAACATGAAAAATACTTATAAGAATATAGTTGCAAGTGGCAATGATCGACCCACACACGCGCCAGAACCATGCCACACCCCACCCCACACATGCAGCACCAAACCCTAATCTTAACCTAACCCAGACATTTTTCAAAAATTTTTTATATGTTGAATTTTATTTAAATCCAAATGGAGGACTTGCGGTTTGTGAAGGGGCGTGGTCACAATAAAATTTTTTATTCCTATTGCCATGATGCATATGGCTACCAAATTTGGTTTGGCTATGCCAATGTTTGCTTAAGGACATCCCATTGGCAAGGAAAGATTTTTGGCTTGTTGCCATGGCAACACAATGTGAAATGGGATGTGGGCGTCATTTACATTTTTTGATCAAGGGCATGTCACAGATAAATGTACCAAATTTGTATGTCTATGACAAATGTTATTGTTACAAACAATACAAATTGCCTAGGCGGCGCTATTACGTTCATGTTAGTATTTTCTTCTGTCAATCTGTTCAGGGTCAGGGTGTGCACCTACAATTCAAATTTGAGTGAAATCAGCCAAAGTGTGATTTGGTAATTTTACCATTGGAATAACATGGATTATGTCATCGCTATGTCGACGCTGTAAAAAAATACTGCATGGGTGTCATTGACATTTTTGGATTAAGACAGCAAAATGGAATTTTGTGCAAAATTTCTGACATTTTTCTCCCCCAGATTAAATTTGATTTCAGTCTGTAGGGGATGTTAACACACCAAATTCAATTTTTACACATTCAGTTTCTTTAGTTTAATGGCTGTTTAAAATTTCACTGATATCCGAGTTTGTATGTGAAAATTCAACATTTCTGTAATTCTGGGCAATTTTTGTCGCGAGCTGGCCAAGTTTCGTGAGTTTTCGCCATTGTTCACTGGGTCAAAAATGGGTGAGTTGATTAGGAAGAATGAGAAATAAATAAATAAAAATAATATTTTGATGCAAGAACAATGTTCCACTTTTTTTTTTTTTTTTTTTTTTTTTTTAAAAAAGCTAACAACCTATAGATTTTCAGAAAGCTCTGGCGCATTCCTTACATCGTGATGAGGGTCCCTGGTCACTACAGGAACGTCAAGCCGCGTCAGTTCACTTTCCAGCCACTAGTAGCATTGTTTTGTGATGTTTTAGTTTGTCAGACTATGAACAAGTTCAAAATAAAGCCTCAGCCTTTTCAGGAGGCCTTAGACAATAATAAAAAATACTTCTTTCAGTTTTAAAAAATACTTAGTTCAGTTAGTCGATACCTACCTAGTTGACTACTTCTACTTTGTTACTTTCCACCAGTGCATATTGGTAAATTCTTTATATGTGTCTTATTTTTTTATTATTAATTTATTTATTTTGTAGCCCCTGTGTGATCGCCTGGACTCATTTCGCCTTGACACTTCTCTTGTTGGGAAACAGCCCAATCTGGTGCATTTTCCTCCTGACTTCCAACCAATCCCGTGTAAGCCTCTGTTTTTCGATCTTGCGCTTAATCACGTGTCCTTCCCACCGCTGGACGATAAGGTTGAGCAGAAGGGCAAGGGCGGCCTGACCGGATACTTCAAGAACATCTTTGGTTTTGGCAGCTAAATCCAAATAAAACTTAATACACAGCCATCTCCTCATGAGCTTAAGATGAATCTGTTTGGTACAGCTATGACAATTTTTAACCTTTATTTTATTGCCTCATTGATATTTGGGTGCTAATGCAGATTAATGAAGATGGGTTTCGTTTTATGTATAGATAGAAAATAAATCAGTGTAAATCATTTCTAGTATGTCATATCTATTGTAACGCAAGTTAGAATGTCATACTCTGTATTACGGACTGGTGGCTTTCTGTTGTAAATGCTCTACGGCCCAACTTTTGACATTTTTCAGTACAAACGCCTTCTGAATAATGTGCTCTGCCTCGAAAGTACATGTTGACTTATATACTGTTTGTCCTTTAAACTTTATATATATATATTTCATGTCTCTTTATGAACTGACAAAGATAGTACAACTTTACAAACTCTAAAATTAACTTAATTCAGTCTTATTTTCCAATTGCAGAAAACGATTTTTGTAGCATGCTTCTCTTGGCTGTAGTTTAAATTTGTGATGCTAATTATTGCTACAAGCTACATTTGTGAATGAATTACTAAAAAGTATAAAATGTTGAAGGATCCAATTCAAGTTTTGGGACCTTGATCTCTTAGAAGATTAATAATTGGTCAGCTTATGTCTTTTGTTCCTTGTTGAATGGCTATTGATTTTGCTGACTTGCATCCTACCTTGAAGCTATTTACTCTTAAGTTTCTTTTAACTAATTTACATTATGTGGCTTATTTTGTTAATTTCTTTAAAGTTTTTGTTGAACCAGATTTGTAGCAGTGAGCACCTATATAATTTTGACTGCAGAGATGAAAACAATGAAATTATACAGTATTTTAATTTTGCCCTAATTAAAGAAGTTTACCAAGCACCATTTTTGTGTAATGAATTATTAAATTGTCCTTAAAAAAAATGTATCTGTCGGAAGTGTTGTGACTGCACCTTTTGTTGTGGGGTGTGGATAAATGCCTTAAATGGGTGTGTGTGTGTTTAGATTTACTTTGTCTATCAAAAGTATGAATAGTTACAAGAGCATCTCTGTGTCTCTGGTGTCAATACCAGTTGTTCTGCTGATGTTATATAATGAGTATAACTCGTCTCAAATTTTAATTTTATGCCCTAAACCATTGTACTTCATTAATCGAAAGTCTCTTTTAGAACTAAAGTTGGAGTCAAAATTGTATTATGTGTTCTCAAGAGGTATGATAAAAGGTGCCCCCTGTGACTTGATTATATAAAATAATTCATCAAATATACATTATTTCACAAAAAATCATGTATTGTCAGGAAATAAATTGTATCAAGTTTACACTATGTGCACAGTGAGGGGTTGAATGAATGAAGTGATAAAATGTCTGCGGTCACTCAGTTGCACTCTGAGCAGCCTGGCTGCATTCCTGTCACTGATAAGCTCTTGAGAGTCTCTGAATGACAGAACTGTATTGCACAAATGTCATCAAAGAGGTGCCTTTTTGGTAAAAACATAGTCCCACTTAGAGCAAGAGCAACTTGGAGCCCCAGTCATTGTTGACTGTATACAAAGTATGTCTGTATTTGTAACAGTGACAGTCTGAACAGGGTCAGTGCTCTGTGAAGTCAAGGATAAAAACTGAAAGTATTGACTTATTAAGAAATTATTTAAAATGTAATGTAAGTCAAACAAGAAATGTGTTTGAACATTTTTGCAGACTTACACACCATTGTCTTTTCTGTGATTGTATAAATTAGTTTTTAAATAATAGGTGTATCGTTGTGGTTAGTTAATGTTCACTGATAATAATTATGACTGGAATTTACACTTTACAGTGCATTATTAATTCACTTCACAACCGGTAGTGGTATTCCAAATCTGTATCCACAGCTGCCCCAGGGTGGTCTGATGGAAGTGAAGCTGTCATTCTGTTTGTTCGACCACACTGACCACCTCCTATTACATATGCATCACTATACAAGGTTGATAGAGTGTTTTGCGCAAAGACATAACTGTATGCACTGGTCTGAGTTGGGATTAAATCACAACCTTATGGGTGTTGTTCAGCCACTGTTACTGCAGTCTAGAAATAATTTGAACAAATAATTAATAGGATAGTTTTATAAAAAAATTATATTAAGTTTGGGCTAACTGTACTTAACCCAAGTAAAGTTATTTGCTTGGGTGTTTGTTACTTTGTTAGCTCAATACGCTGTACTGTATTTCCCATTAATCATATTATATATTTTACATGGTGACATCAATCCACATAAAACTACACCCAAACATTTGCGTCTCAAATAAGCACCGATATAGTTGTTTATTTTGATGAAAGTAACAGCACTTGTTGCTGTGCCCACAGTGGTCCTGGGCCTGTCCTCTGCTGGAGGCCCTTGGAACAGGTGAGAGTGGAGGGAACAGGTCTGGCCGGTCCTGTGGATGTTTGGGCGGTGTCACCCTGTTAACCTGTCTGGGAGGAGCTGCCAGCGTCAAACTCTGTCCCTGCGTTAAACCTTGTCCCACAGAGAGAGACTGGGACAGCACAGCCACCGGGACAACAGAACAACACAGGAGGACAAGAGATTTGAGTGGGATCTCTGTGGCACACTACAACCACCAGGATGCTTAAGAAAGGCAAGGAAAGCACCCTCAAGATGTCGGGGAAGATCAGCAAGTGAGTGTAGTCTGTTCTTTTTTGTGTGGTGACACTTAATCTCGGTCATGTCCCCTCTTTGCCTGTTCTTCCTCTGCTGACTACTGTGTCATGTTTCTGTGTCTCAATGAATGTCCTCTTTCTCTCCTTCTGCCTGGAGGATCTCCAGTTTGTTTTAAGTTGTGTTAAAAATAAATTGAGCATAGAGCAGCCAGAGAAATCAAGTTGAAATACCTTTAAACCTTTTGTGGTGGCTGAGGTGTGTGTGAAAGTATTGAGCAGCCATTTCAAAGAGATCAAGCTCAGATTTACTCTGTAAACATTGGACCAAGGCGCAGGTGAAAAGAAAATGTTTGAGATTATTTGTGTCCAACAGGATTGCTCACATACAGGTGTATATGTAGGCATATGAGACTCAACAGACACAAGCTAGATAGCATGATAATGACAAAGTTTTAAGAAATGGTCTTGAATGATCAATAATAGTGGACAGTATAAAATAATTTATGTAAGTTATATTTTATGGCAAGTATTTTCTTTTTCATATCAAGATAATATAGTATGTGTCCATTCAGTTGGTGAAAGTTACAAGGTCTTAAATTGTTGTAAAAGATTTATGAAAGAGCATTCCAGTCCACCTAAAGCCTCTGGGGTGTCCCTGCGTGTCACTGGTGAATGTCACATAGTTGTCATAGTAACGGTGACTGTCCTGTAGGGTGACCTCGCCCCAGCCCTGCCCTGGCCAGTTTCTTTCTATTATGTGGGCGTTGGTCTCAGGCCACTAAATACAAGTCATCACATCTTAACCATCAGAGATTGTATTTTGATATGTTATTTTAATGCTATAATGCACATTAAAAATAGATTTGTGTAGTGTTATGGCGCTGAATCTGTGAAATCATCTTTATTTAAACATCAAAATGTTGAATTAAATGTCTTCCAGATTACATATCTTTGCAAATACCAAAGATTTTCATGGCTGCTTCAAGGTAGACGCAAATATTTAACACACCCACATCATTCCTGCTTGTCTCAATTTAAGTCTATTTAACTGTGACTACCCAGATGGTAATAAGCCATTAAGATTTACATACAACACACTCGTAATTACAGTTTATTACTCGTCATACAAGTTGCTTTGGGACTGAGGGATTGCTTGGCTTGAGTGAGCAAGAACAGGGCTGTCTCTCTAAAGACTGCAGAGATAGACATTGGTTTGCCAGCACAAAAATTGTATAGTGACTTTAGTGTCTGCTTCAAATTGTTCTGTTTACTGTCTTTGGTAAAAACACTGCATTTGTGTGAAAGCACATTGGTGGAAGAACTGCTCAAATGCGTTACTTAAGTAAAAGTACTGATCAACTAGCAACAGTAAAAAACACAAAAAGGAAACGTATCATGAGAAAACTCGGCTTTAATTAAACATATTTACCACTTTTGTCTAAAAGTTAAAAACTAGATATTTGGAGAAAGAATGCCAGTTTTAAAAATAAGGTTTTGTGATTATTTGAGGTGATGTTATCAAACCGGCTCAGCACAACAGACCGGCTGGCATGATCTGTCTACCACTTATATATTCAACTACTGCATGTCTGTAAATACAATACAATAATTCAACCAAAAATGTAAACCTCCAAATATTTTTTGAATTTAATCCTGTTCTGTAATAGAGTAGCATACTCTTACTTTGTGTACAATGGTGGTAAAAGTAAAAGAAAAAAGTAATACATTTTAAAATTTAATTAAAAAGTTAAGAGATTAAAGATAGTTCAGCTTTCCACCTCTTATGTTCAGTGGATTAAAGCTTTGAAAAATAAGACTAGTTGGTGTTAGGCCAGTGGGAAGTGGTAGTGTCACGTTACTACAATTTCAATCTTGATTACAATATTAACGGGAAACAAATACCAGTCGATACCAATTTCAATACCACAGTCCTCTTGTGTAGACAATAGAACAAAAAAGCATTCAAAATCTTTCAAAGAATGTCAACTTTTGTTCCTATTTATGCATTTCTATCAGAGAAGATTGTTGAGCTGAGTATCTAGTTTCAATACTAGTTATAGTATTGATTAGTATCTGGGTATCAATACTTTTGACAGCCCTAGTGTGAAGATGGATGATTTTCACCACAAGAGACACACCTAAATCGTGCCTAAAATGCTCTCCATTCCTTAGTGACTGCCTCTGTCACTCCCTCTTTCACTCTGTACACATTTAGAAAGAGGGAGGCGAAACTGTGTCTACTGGTACAGACAAATGAGCTACACCCACAAAAGGTGATTTGATAATGTTGGAGTTATAACAAGTATGACTAATAAAAGGTTTAAATGGCACTGATGCATGCCCAAAGTGTAAATGATTTAGGCAGGTGTGAAAAAGCTGGAGCCCAGAATTACAACAGCAGTGGCATTGTAGGGCTTAAAAAAGTTGATTTAAAGAATAGAAGGATAGAAAATCACACAGTGAAAGTCATTGGTCAATAACAGACAAGCAGACTGTGGTGTGCATTTCACAACTTGAATTCAAAAGTTTTAACTTGATAAGTTCCTTCACCCAAAGGAGAATTTCTTGGTATGCACCATGCAGTCTATAGTATACACTGTGTGGGGGCTTTACCCCAGACCTTGACCTTTGTTTCTGAATATTTTAATGTCAATCAGGGCTTTTAAGTAAGGATGACACTGCAGGTGCTGAAAACAAAGCATGCATCATAATTTCTTATTAGTTTGTGAACCATATCAAGTTACAGAAATATTTTGGCACCTTAATGTTTTGAGGGAAATACAACCTCACCCATACTGTACTGTCACTACAGAGTTTGCGTAGCTCTTTATCATCTCATGTAATTCAGATTCTCACCTGTCTTCCTCTCTTTGCAGGACCCAGGCCAATGCCTTGGCCTTGTTGATCGCCCAAATGCAGAAGAATGCTGACCAGGTAGAGAAGGACATTCTCCGTGCTGAAGACCTGCTGGCACTGGTATGACTTCAAAGAAAGATTGAAATATTAACCAAATGTAAATGCTAATCATTTTGAAATCCTATAACCAATATAATGCAATATACTTTCTAACAACAACGATCAATAGTTTATAACACTTTCTTCAGGATGACAAAAATGACAAGCAAGAGCTGCCCCTCCAACATCAGAGTGAAATCTCAGACAAGCTTGGAGACGCCGAGGGTCTACTCAAGGACCTTTTCCTGGATGTGGACAAAGCCAAAAAGCTCCAACATCCACAGGCCAAAGACATAGAGAGCGAGTGAGTTTTTAGTGATGGCAAACATAATAATATAATGTACACTATTTATAATAATTTTATGTTAATAATTATATGTGTTATAGTAATATTCAAGAAAAATGTAATTGTTTTTCTTGTTTTGGGCAGTGTCATTCTTCTTCACGAGCGCTGGCTGAAGGACTGTGCCTTCTACAGAGACATCTATGAGCAGATTGACGATGTGTCTCTTATGCCAAGGATTGACTGGGGACCGGTTTTTGCTCAGAAGCAAGTATGTTCTAATATATGTAGATAAAGGGGCGCATAAACTGCCATTGAACAACTAGTTACATGGATACTATACCTCAAAATCGGCTGGGCAAAAAAATCAATTACATTGATTAATCAAATTTGAAGTTCAAATCAATTTGAACCCACACCTCCCACACACATTTTCTTGCATAGGAAATTGCATTAAAATACATGAAAGGTTCCTCACTACAGTCTCAGGGACCAGTCGATAGTTGTAATCTACAGTTTTATTTTCAGTGACCCATGCCGTGTGGCAGCTGTTGATCTAATGCTTCCTGTCATTGAGTCTTTACGCAAAACACATTCCTGACCATCCCCAGTGTGAATGTGATGTGGGAGTGATTGATAGTGTTCAATTAGCAGCTTCACTTCCACAAGTCTACCCCAGGGCAGCTGTGAATCCTAGCCTGTTACTATGGAGGATGGAGTGAATGCATAGTGCCTTAAATTGTAAAGCAACTTTGAGTGTCTGGAAAAGCACTTTATAATTATTACTTTGTATAATGATCCTTGAGTGTGTCACAATTTGATAATATTGAATTCAAATTATTGAATGTAATGTAACACAAAACAGTGGATGTTTCTTTAAAATTACCACATGGCCCTTTACAAATTCTGATATATTTATATTTAGAAGATAAAACTTTGTCCCATTTATGTGATTTTGTTCAGCATCAAATGAGTATCTACTTTTGTTGCAAGTTTTAGAGTTCATTTATTTTTAAGTAACTATTTTTGACAACCCTATCACGTTGTCAATACTATAAGGTGCAATATGTATATTATTGCCTGGAATTTAATTCATTTAATTTTTATTTTTTTCTGTTTTTTTCTTTGTGTGGTTCAGAAACAGCTGGCAGATGCAGATCAGTACGGTCCCACGATGGCTGACCTGGAGAGGCAGATTGCAGCACACAACATTTTACACAAAGAAGTGGAGGCCTACAGCCCTCAGCTCTGTGTCAGCTCCGCCGGCAGCAAGGTAAACACTGAAGCCTTTTACCGTGGACACATAAAGATAGACTTTTAATATTTTTTATTAACATTATCTCTACGTCAGGAATAACAAATATTAACTTTTTTTTGTTTTTTAGGAATCATATACAGCCTACAAGAAACAATACAACAATATACTGGTGAGTTGGACATTATGAAGTATATATATTTTTTTATAAAGTTTTAAAATTAAATATGAAATTATGGATAAAGAATAAATGAAAATAACTATCTATATATCTTCTTTATTTACGTAGTATCATGTCTTTTCTCGTTCTCACAGGACAACTCTAAGTGGCGCAGGCATTACCTGACTAGCCTGTACGAGTACATGCAGGGGTGCAGCAAGGAACTGACTTTTCTGCAAGAAGAGCAAGACAAGATCAAGAAGCAAGACTGGAGTGACCGCATGGTGGATCCGTCTGACGTGCGACGGCAGTACGAGGTCAGGGCTTTTTTTTAGTTCTTAGATTGTTGCATATTGTAATTTGGCTATTCATACAGCTACAATAGCTACAATAAATTCTTGATGTCTGTTGTCCAGATTAAAGTGGTAGGCAGGGCAGTTTTTCTTCTGTCTCTGATAATTTGCCCAATATCTATTGTGTCATTTCCACAAACATGTATTACCAGTTAAAGACTGCAGATATGTATTCTAAGTCATCATCTTAAAGTTAAGATGTATGCTACTGTAGTGATAGCACAGATCAGCTATAAATAAATTACATCTGATTCTTCTCCATCAGAACTTCAACAACAGTTTACTGTCACATGAAGCTGAGGTGAACAAACTTCAAGATGAAGGAGACAGACTTATCGAGCTAAAGCATCCTGCCAGTGCCACCATCGCGGTACAGTCACCCAAAATCACACCGACTACAACATGAGAATTTTTAAATACATGTGTTTTAAAACATGCTCTATTTGTGTATTTTTAGGCACAGAGAGATGCTGTACGGAACGAGTGGCAGCAATTCCTCAACCTCTGTATTTGCCAGGAAACACATCTGGACAACGTCGAAGAATACAAAAAGGTAAATTTGATTAAGTTCTTTGTCTTTAAATTTTTTTTTTTTGGTAGACTAGTTGCACAGTACATGTGCCCTCTAACCAGTGTATGGCCAGTTCTTTATGCATCTGGGTTACTGGGTAATTTATTATAATGTACTAGTTCTATCTGATTGCAACTGAAGGGACTACAGCGTAAAAATCTGGTTCTCAAACACTGTGCACTGAGAGAAGAATATACTTTTATATGTGCTAGTAAAATTACAGTAAACACAATGCAACACAAAGGCTTTAAACAAATACTCCACAAAAAAGGGATTCCCTATCACACCAGAACTGAAACAGGAGAAGCCTCTAGAATAATTTTATATCATCTGAACAGTGGAAGGCAAAGACACAGACATAAACTCAAATATAGTGCAACTATTTTTGTCTAATTATGTCAATGTGCACTTTCAGTACCAAATGGACTGTGACCAGCTCTCAGAAACCCTAACCAGACTCAACAGCACCTTGGATCCAAAAGCTATCTCGAAAAAGAGCAACTATGAGACTCTGATGCAGCTTGAGGTAAATAGATCACGCATTGACCTATAAAACTTTACATGGACCAAATCAGTCATTTTCATGTCAAGTTGTCATTTGTAGATGACAAACTTAACTTTGAAAGTCACATATGTAACATTTTTGTATGTATGCTTTATAGATGGACACACTGTAATGCCACATGGTCTATTAATGAGATAGGCCTTGACAAAAATCCTTACATACTGCCTGAATGTGGACATATTCAATTAGCCACATGGGTTGATTTGTCTTTGACCAATACATAGATAATGTAGTAAATATATAAAAATATATAGTCAACTTTCAATATTGAAATATGAATGTATGAATATAGATAAGATTAAAAGATGATGTTCCATATGCCTTACGGTAAAAAAAATTATTTCCAGTTTCCACTGCAATATTAAGATCAGACCTCTTTTTAAACATCATTCAACATTCACATAGCCTGCGGAAATGCTAAATGTTTAGGTAATTTTACAGAACACCTGTCAACCGTTTATTCAGAATGAAAGTAACCTTTTGTTGGTATGAAGGGGGAAGAGCTGGATGTGCAGAACAGTGAGCAGCTGTTGGCTGATCTGAGGAGACGCAGCACAAGCATCGCTCCCCTGAAACAGCGCCGTACCACCTCCTCTCGGCCTGTCACCGTGGAATCTCTGTGTGACTGGGACTCAGACAGAGTAAGGCACCAAGCACCATGTTTCCCACATTCTATCAACCCTAAATCAGGAGGCGGCAGTGGCTACATTCTATTTGTGTTGTTATATGCATTTTGTATTGAATGAAAAATTTAAAAAAGTAAAAAAGATATTACATAGAAATTAGGAAGCAAATGTCAATATAAAATTCATATCTACCACTTCACTGCCACTATATGAAACCCCTTTGAACAAGAGAGCAATACAGATATATCTTAAAATAACATGGCATCTTGATAATAAACACTGTATTTAGGGTTCCCTCAGCAGAGGTGAGAAGTTCACCCTGAAATCCATCACTGATGAGAACTGGAAGATTATCTCGACTGGGGGAGCAACACACACAGTCCCTGGAGTGTGCTTCCAGATCCCCCCTCCGGACCCAGAGGCCATTGACAAAGTGGACCTGTACGTATGGCAGATTTTCGCAGATACAACAAAAACACATGCTGACTTTTTGGTGTTTTTATAGACTGGGGGCTGAACTTGCAGACATTAAGAAAAAAAGAGCTGCAGTGGAGGCCTCACTCAAGAACCACAAAAATGATGTTGACAGAGTTCAACAATCAGGTCTGTGTTTGTACAATAAAAATAATTTGGATTTACCTTGCAGTAAATTTTATATGTATCATTTATTTTAAACATATTATTTCTGGTCCACCAGCTCCTGTGTCGTCTTCCTCTGTTGACCCCAAAGCCCTTGCCTTGGCTAATCAGCTGAATAAACTGGACGGCGACTTGGCTAAAGCAGAAGAAGACTTGCTGAACCGCCTGCGAACTCCACTGAATCGATCTGACCCAACTGGGGATCTGGCCAGAAAGCTGAGAGATCAGGAGGTAAGCTGTATGGGCAAAAAAATGTGTCTGTCCTGGTTTGTATTTTTAATGAAGATATATTATATTTATGGGTGTCAAATTATCGCGTTAATTGCGATTACTTAATTACAGTCATATTTAGCGCGTTATGTTTTTTAATCGCGTTAATCTCATTTTTAATCTCTAACTTTAGTGTTTCTGTATGTGAGTTTCTTTATTATAAAACCTGTTTTTATGTGTTGTTGGGACAACAACACACACACACACACACAAAACACATACATTTTTTTATTTCGGTAATTCCCCTCATTGCCGGAAAGCCACACAAAACGCGCGCAGTAAGAGCGACGTAAACGTCATGTTAACGTTGGCGGCATCAGTCGCAGAATGGACGAGGTCGAAGAGCCAGTAGAACAGAGGCAGCAGCGCACAGGTAAAAACGCATTCGTGTCTTGGAAATTATTCTCCCGACGTGAAATATAAAAGAAAATAACAAATATAATATCGCCTGAAAACAACCTGCATAGGCTCATGATGTCTGCACTACTGTCCTATAGTGACCTGCCACATGAGGGGACACGCACACAAACACAAATACACACAAACACACACAAACACACACAAACACAAATACAAATACACACAAACACACACAAACACAAATACACACAAACACACACAAACACAAATACACACAAACACAAATACACACACACACAAACAAACACACACCTTCATCATCGTCATCAACCTGAGAACGCGCGGACCACGTTTCCTTCCGTAGTTACTGCGCGGACATCGCTGTCCTCCCGTGAGCCGCATGTGGATCGTGTTTTCTCGCGTGCGCTGCGTAAACCGCGCTTCCTCCTGTGCGCCTCTAAACCAGAACTAACACCAAGACTAAAACCAGGACTAAACCAGGTCTAAACCAGAACTAAAACCAGAACTAAAACCAGGTCTAAACCAGGTCTAAACCAGGACTAAACCAGGACTAAACCAGAACTAAAACCAGAACTAAAACCAGGTCTAAACCAGGACTAAACCAGGACTAAACCAGGTCTAAACCAGGTCTAAATCAGGACTAAACCAGGACTAACACCAGGACTAACACCAGGACTAAACCAGGTCTAAACCAGAACTAACACCAGGACTAAAACCAGGATTAATCCATTCCAGGACTAAACTAGGACTAAAGTAGGTCTAAACCAGGACTAAAACCAGTGATCTCATATATATTTCTCTATAAATAATATTTTTAATATGGTTAAGGAAAGACTGGACTTTTTATTGTCTTTAAGTAGACAAAAGTTATTATGTTCAGATTTCCTTGTCTTTGCTACTTTACAACAAACAGTTTCTTATTCATGGAGACTTGGGCTCAACAGCCAAATTGGAGGGATTTGTTAAACAATAAATGACTTTATAAAGTCACTTTTTTAAATCTATATTAGTCTTTTGATCTGCCACAATAATGTAATAATGAATTTAAATGAAAATACCTCAAATTGAAGGCTTTTCTCAGCAATTTTAGGTGAGATTAAAATGAGATTAATTAGATTAATTAATTACAGATCATAATTAATTAATCTCTCAATTTTTTTAATCACATGACAGCACTAATTATATTATGATATATTTAAAACATGTATGTTATATTACAACTAATACGGATGGCTTTAATAACAACAACAGACTTTAACTCATTTGGTATCCTGAAAAATTAAGTTTCTACTTGATAGAGTTTGGTTCTGTTTTTAGGATGCAGCTAAAGCTTTGAAGGCACTAGAGCAGCAGAGACTGGCAGCTCAGGCCGATCTGCAGCCGCTGCTCTCGAGTGGAGCGTCCTCCTCACTGCCTCAACAACTGTCCTCCTTTAACAATAAACAAGACAACCTTGCAGCACTTTCTGACCTCTATGCTAAAAAGTAAGAGTTTGTTGTTTTGTGTCTCTTTGTATAAAAACAAATCGGAGCTTAAATATTACATATTATTGAGAAATTAGGTTTTTAACAATTTTGTTTTTTGTTTATTAGAGCAAATGCATCCCTAAACCTGGAGAGGCAGATTAAGAAAGTGGACGGCATTGTATCAAACTTAGAAAAGAACTTAAGTGCAGATGGTCCCATTAGTAATGATCTAAATGCAATCCAAAGGCATGCTGATGACGTTCAGGTGAGGAAATGCTACTTTTACCATAGTTCACTCATTAGTACTAATTGCCTTGTTTACAATAATGTGGATGTTATGTTTAGAGTCAGAAAAGGGCTGTGGCTGCAGCTGAAGGTGACATGAAGAAGCTGAGCCAGGACCTGGAGCTCACAGAGCAGCTTTGCAGCTCTCTGCAGCAAAGCTACCAAGAGTACTGCCCGGACATCCCACGCCAACGCACTGACGTCAAAAAACTGCAGACCCGCTACACAAATGTGGGCAACCAGCTCAATGAGAGGCAAGTTTCTACTAATTTATACTTTTTGCTCTAGTTATTGTTAGTCAATGTCATTGAATCAAAGCCTCAATAAAATGGAACACTGCAACTTTATAAATAGAGAGAAGATTTTGCAAGATGTTGGCACCAAGAATCAAGAATTCCAAAGCACCTGCAAATCACTCAACTCTTTCCTTGATAACCTGCCAACCAATCAGATAAGCCCCTATGATGATCTGTCCCAAATCAGCGCAAAACAGAACTCTCAAGAGGTAAATATTATAAGGACTCTTGATACAGTGTCAAAGTGGTGTAAGTATTTAAACAGTAAGTATTTATTTTATAATTTTATTGCAGAGAGTTATGGATGACCTGAAGAGAAAAGCAGATGATCTTGACAGAGTGTCTGATCTGTCAATGGACTTGCAGAATCTGCTCAATGTAAAGCATCACTCTTTATTATCATCACATACTAGTGTTATGCAGCATTATGTTTTCACATATATATATATATATATTCTTTTTTTTTTCCTGCAGGAATATGAGACTAATGTTAATAAATACAATGGGACTCTGGAGGACACTGGCACCTCAGTTGCAAAGAAAGCATATGTGCCAACTCTTGCTAGTGATATTCAAAAAGAGGTACCACCTATTTTTCAACATATGACAGAGAAGCTTGTATTTCAGTTAAAACTAAAATGCTGTATATTCTGTCACAGGAAAAGAATCTGCTGAATCGTTATTCTGAAGCCACTGCTGAGAACATGCAGCGGCAAAAACAGATGGATCTTGCCAGGAATCTGGTTTTACAAGTAAGAGTGAGGGGCAGTTTGCTTGTTGTGTAATGAAAAAATTGCATACCTACAACTGTGTTTTTCTCCACAGAATGAAGAAAAAGTTCAAATGGTCGCCCAACAACAAGTCCAGTTAGAAAATCAGCAAAAAAGTGCCTTTGAATTGAGCAGTCTGATGAAAGAGCTAGATGATGAGAAGGAGAGAGCCAATTATGCTGAGAACAACTTAAGAACCTTCAAAGAGAGAATGTTGTCCCTACAAAGCCGCAGAGGTGTAGAGCGCGTTGAGGAAAAAGAAGTGCTGCAGTATTACCGTGATCCAAAACTGGAAAGTGATCTAATAGATCTCCAAAAAATCCTACATGAAGAGACCTTGAAACGCACTACAACCCAGAGTGATATTGAGCTAACTAACAGTAGGATTACTATAGTGGAGGACAACATCAAGAACGCCCCACGCAAACTGGTGACGAAAGAGGTGACAGAATTTGAAAGAGATCCCCAGCTTGACATAGAGGCTGCCAAAATGAGGAATGAGATTTCAAAGATGAGAGATGAAATTCGGGTGAGAGATGGAGAACATGTTCAAGCGAGAACTGAGATAACAATTTTACAGACAAAGAGGCCCCCCATTAAAGAAAGAGTGGTCAAGAAGGAAGTGGTGAAAGTGGAGCAGGATCCAGAGATGATTAAGTCTGTGAGGAACTTTCAAACCGAGATCTCTGATGAAAGCAACAGGATTACAATGCTCAATGATGAGATCTTTCAAACAAGGAGCATGATCAACTCCCTTGAGAGGCTTATCCCCAACATCCAGCCCAAGGTCATCAAAAAGGAAGTCAAGCAGGTTGAACAGGACCCAGAACTTATAACTGAATCCAAAAACATCCAGCTGAACCTGGAAAATGAGAGAAGTGAAAATAGCACTTTGGCCAGAGAGGTAATGGAGCTGCAGAGTCGCTACAGAGAAGTTCAAGACTTTAAACCCAGAATTGAGGTGAAGGAGATAGTGAATGAGATCTACCGCATTGATCCAAGCACTGAGAGAGAGATAACACGTCTCAGGAAGGACATACAGGAATCGTCCAGACAGCGCAGCGACCTGGATAGGGAACTCACCCAAATCACTTCGGAGATTGATTATCTCCGCTCCCAGAAGCCCAAAATAGAGCACAAGGAAGTTCTCCAAGAAGTGATTAAGGAGGAGCGCAGTCCTGAGAATGAGAGAGAAATACAGAGGCTAAACAGTCAAGTTAACAGCTTATATAACACATACAGTTCCCTCCAAGACCAGGTGCTGCTGCTCAGGAAAGAAAGGGATGAATTGAAGATTGAAAAGTCTAAGATTGAAACTCAGCTGGTGACAAGAGATGTTGTTAAATATGAGAATGACCCGTTGTTGGAAAAAGAAGCTGATCGTTTGAGAAAGAATTTGCGAGAGGAGCAACAGATGAGGCGCAACATTGAAGAGATGGTGTATGACTTGAAAAACAAATATATACTGCTTGAGCGTCAGAAACCAGAAGAAAAAATAGTAGTGCAAGAAGTTGTGCGTTTACAGAAAGACCCACGTCAGGTTCATGAGCATGACCGCCTCAGTAGGAGTCTGGATGAGGAAATCCAGGCACGTCGTCAGATAGATCTGGAATTTCAGCAGCTGAGAACGAGGCTGGCAGATAAAGAGAGTATGCTCAGAAGTAGTGACGAACGCCAAAAGAGGATTCAAGCTGAGGCTGAGTTGCGAGATATCAGGCTGCGCATTACACAGCTGGAAAATGCCCCTCCTCCTGTTCAAGAAAGCATAGTGGTGGAGGAAGTGCTGAAAGTAGAGAGGGACCCCAAACTGGAGAGGATGACAAATAGTTTACGAGCTGACATGGACAAGGAATCCAGTGATGTCTTACGTCTCCAAAGAGAGATCCGTAGCCTTACAGTGAAACTGGAAATTTTACAGAAGGAGAAATCAGGTGAGAAGACAGTGTATAAAGAGGTGGTACGTGTTGAAAAGGACCAGGCAGTTGAAGCAGAGCGAGAGCGTCTCCGAGAACAAGTGACACAGCAAAGATTTGCCAGAGAGGATCTGGAAGATGAATTGAGACGACTGAAAGACAAGATCAACATGCTGATGAGTAGCAAGACCAGCACCTCTCGAGAGGAGACAACACTGATTATGAACAAAGAGGCTCTGCAGAGAGAGAGGGATGACCTCATCCGTGAGCTGCGGACCCTGGAAACCAAGAGCCATGATGTCAGTCTGTCCTTCCAACAGCAAAGCAAACTCATGAGTGAGATTACACAGATGTCAAGGCAAAAGAGTGTCAAGATGGAATCTGACGTCCAGCGATTGGAGAAAGACATCCTCAATGAGAAAGACAAAATTCATTCAAAGGACAGTATCATCCGAGAGCTTACACTCAGCATGCAAAAGGAGGAACACTCAGAAACACGAACCAAAGAGACAAATGTTTCCACAAAGATCACCATTTTGGACCCAGAAACAGGCCGGGACATGTCTCCTTATGATGCATACTTGCAGGGACTCATTGATCGTCAACAGTATAGTCATTTGCAGCAGCTGGAGTGTGACTGGGAAGAGGTCACTTCAATGGGGCCTGATGGTGAGACAACAATGCTGCAAGACCGAAAAAGTGGTAAGCAGTACTCCATAAAAGATGCCCTGAAAGCAGGCCGGTTGACAGAATATGACCTACAACAGTACAAACAAGGGAAGCTGCCAATCTCAGAATTTGCCTTGCTTGTTGCAGGTGACAGTAAACAACCACAATTTAACTCTGTAGTCACTCAAAAGACATCTTCAACACTTAACTCAGCTGCTCCTTCACTTAAAGGATTATCACCAATTGCTGGAGTAATGGATACAAAAACTGACACCTGCTACACAATACGTAGTGCTGCCATGAATAAAATGATTGACCTCATAACAGCTCAGAGGCTATTGGAGGCTCAGGCAGCCACAGGGGGCATAATAGATATCACCAGTCAAGAAAGATGCACAGTTCACAAGGCATTGTCCAGGGGCCTCATTGATGAAAGTCAAACACAGAGGCTGCTCAATGCACAAAAGGCCTTTTCAGGAGTGGAAGATCCTTTGACCAAAGAGGTTTTGTCCATTGGAGTAGCTATCCAAAAAGGTTGGATGCCAAAGGATACAGCCATGCGTTACATGGAGATACAGCACCTGACAGGAGGGCTGGTTGATCCAAGAAATAGCAGCAGAGTGAGCATAATGGATGCCATTGGTGTCAAAATGATTGACAGCACTCTTTTAAGAGAACTGCAGTCAGAATCTTCTTACTCTAAAGATATTACTGACCCACTCACGAAGGAGATTAACTACAAGCAAGCTCTTGAACGCTGCAAGAAGGATCCACAGTCAGGCTTACCCATGTTGCCTGCATCATCCAAAGAACAGACCTCCTCTTCAATGTACACATCTAAATATGCACGGTTCTAGACATGTTTACAAAACAAATGCTTGTGATTAATTGCTTCTACTAATTTTGTGATGTAACATAAGGTTAATTGAATCATACATTATAACTCAGGAAACTCCTGCTGGGCCCTTTTGTTTACTGAAAATGTTGAGCAGTTTGTTTTAATTGTAAAACTGAAACAAAATTCATGTTAAATTTTGTATTATTTTTCTTGAAGGGATCCTGGGACATGGTGCAATTGTATTTACAAAAAATGATTTTTATTTGTATTATTTGTGGGTTATATCTCTGACATTTTAATTGATACCGTATGAAGGAATGAATTACAATAAATCTAAATTATACTGACAATGTGTGTCTTTTGGAAATGTATCCTGGACAATGTATAATATAGAAAATAAGTAGGCTTATTAATAATGGCTAATAATTGATGGGTTCGCCTTACTGCACTTGCCATGCACGGATTATTTGCCATAGCAGTGATAATTAATAACATCATGTGACCTACAAAATGGAGAATACCTGTCACTGCTGTGTTATCTAGGCTATTTGTAATATAAGCTACAAGTGAATTAAACCATTGCTTGGTAAAGTACAATATAATTAAAAGTAAAAACCGGCTCTTGCCCCCATCTGAGAGCACGTCACCACATTCTAGAGTCTGAAAACCACCAATAAATTGTGAAAAAAAGACAACAAAACAAAAAAACATGGATCTATTCGTTTAAAAAAAAAAAAAAATCACATACTTACAGATTCGGCATATGAGTTTGGCCCATTCCTCCACACTCCGATCTGGAAAAACTAATCACTTTCAATGATCGGGCTATTTGTAATTGGGATTGGATGGGTAGAGGAATCAGGTCTCCACATTAAACACATTTTATCAGTTTTTCACCTTTTTTTGTTGTCATTAATCTTTAGATAAATCTATATTTTACCTAAATAACTACACATTGTACTTAATGGAAAAACTATGGCCTGTGAGGAAGTGACGACCCTTAGGAGATATGTGGACGAGAATGGACAGAAGGAGACGCCCCTCATCCATAGTAAGTAATAAGCTACAGTTTACAGTGTGCCCCAGCAGCTGTGGCTATAACAGTAGCTTACCACCTAGTGAGTGTGGAGTAAATGAATAATGCACTGTTAAGTGTTTTGGGTGTCTTGAAAGCTGCTATATAAATGCAATGATTAATTAATTAATTAAGTCTATGTTTGTATATCTTAGTATTTTTTTTTAAACAACTTTATTACCTAAATTGTGTAATTTTCAGATTCTCCTGAACTGAAGCAGAAGTACAGTTTGGGAGCAAAGTTGAAGACAGGTTTGCTGATGCTGCTCGTCGTGCCCTGATAGCTGCATTTCAAGTGCCTTGGTCAGACCTCTCTTCTCTCTAATTCATGTCTCTCTTTTTCAATTTTAATCTTTATGATTATTTATGTTTTGATCTGTTTTTATTATGATTTTAATGTATTTCTTATTCTGTAAAGCACTTTGAATTACTTTGTGTACAAATTGTGCTATACAAATAAACTTGACCCCACTTTATCATAATTCAAGACCCCAGTGTGGCTCTTGCAGAAGAAGTCTTTCATTGTGACATGTGATAGGCTGAGCCTTATAATCAAATGGACAGGACTGTTTCAGAATTATCCACTCAAATAAAGAACTAAAAGAACCCCCTAAAAGCCTGTAGCATGAACACTAAGATCTAGGACAAGCTTGATTTTTGTAATCTCCAAATGTTGCTATGCATTTTGAATCTATTAAAAAATAAGACAAAACAAATGTATTTCAGGTTATTATACACTGGTTTAAGCAAAGCCTATAACAACCACTACTTGCTTAATTCTACTTTTTGAAAAAAAAAAAAGTAAAATCTCATATGTTATCTGACTATTACCTAGAAAGAAATGTATAAAGTTGTTATTTTGTTGTATTAGGCTATACGATTCTACTTCTTTTTTTAATTATTATTATTTAGCATGCAACCTATCTGCATAAACATATATTTACACATATATTTTCATAATGTTAAATGTGGTCATTATGTTATGAAAGGGTTAAAGTTTAAGCTATTTATTCAACATGTAATAAACACATTTTTTTTTAGCCACTACAAAAAACCCAAACCATAGCTTCACTGTAATTGGGTAGATGTATAACCATTATAAATATCACCACAATCTGTTAGGTTCCAATAATGTTTCTCACATGAATGGACATCAGTATTTGGGGGGAAGTGATAAAAAAAGACAAACAAGTAAGAGGAAATAAGCCAGTTAGTCTGCCTTTACAAGTGCACCTGGGAGCGAACTTGAAAAACAAAAACTAAAGGACAGCAGGTAGAACTGACCGTGATTACAAATGCAAAAATACACAATTACATTATACATTTACATACACAAACTATTTAAAAGGCTTACCAATAACTTTGGCCAAACGCACACGTGTGGGTCCAAGTTGGCCTCCTACGGAAACTGGCACCTCGCGGACTTACAGCCAGCTTCTCCTTAACCCTGGAGAACCCAAGAACCCTTTTCTTCTTTGGAAAATTATGAACTATGCATTAATTGACTACTATGAGTCCACTGAACACCAAAATATACACTTTTTCAATTTTAACCCTTTATTCCCTGATTTACGATTAGGGTCAAATCTGACCCACTGGGTTTTACGCGTATCATTTCAAAGAATAACAATAGAAACACTGTCAATGTTGATCACCGCAATAGACAAGAAATGCCAGAAAAGTATCATATACCAACGATGGGTCCGAATGGGAAATTTACAGTGTTCAAGACGCACATCCTGCATGTCAACTCCTCCCATGGAATCATTGTACTCCTGGATGTTCAGCTGATCTGGTCTGGTTTGTCATGGCATCCTGGTACGACTCAACCTGTTCACCTTGAAAGCTCATGTCAGGCAACTCAAAGTCTTTCTTTCACCACCTGTAAGTTTTTGCGGCACAATTTGGCTCCATCTGTGAGCGAGCAGTCTCGGCCAACGGCACATCCTCATCATTGGACGACTCATTGTCTTGGGCAGAAGATTCACCAAAATCACTTTCTTGTGGTTGAAACAATTCATCAGAATCGCTATTGCTGACCAATCCAGGGCCAAAGTCTCTATCATCAGCTTCAAATTGCTCTAATACTTGTCTACAGTGAACTTTCTCTGTTCCTTTCCCTGTTCTGAAAAGGGAGTGACCATATTCCCTGAAAAGATAATAGGTATTTACTTTATTAGTCTCTGGTCCTGTACCATCTACTGAACTTAGTAAAAAATGCCCACAGGCACTTGGTATTGAATGAAATTAATCAATAGAATACAGACCCCTTTCTAAAATAATGTATTTACATGCATGGCTATAGGCCTCTATATATACAGTAGCTCATACACTATTTATACTATTTATATATACTATTATACTATTTATATACTCTATTTATATATATTATCAAACATTTTTCAAATTGTTACATTATATTCTACAAATGAATTTAATTTAAGGCTTTAGTCAAATACAGGACTGTCACCATTCTCTATTTAAAAAGTCCAAGACTTTGTAGTCTTAGACCAGAGGGTCATTTTTGACCCCTCGTTTTTTTCACCCGTACACCCAGAGGGTCATTTTTGACCCATCGTTTTTTGGACAAGCTCAGAGTTGCTAATTTATCCAAAAAGAATATAAAAAGTACTTCTAGGCATTCTGCAGGCTAATACTAAATAAATTAACAAACAATACACAATTTTACCTACAGCTGGTTTGCTGAGAAGACAGTTTTGTTTGGGGAGGTTTCCAGCTCAACAAAACACCATTTGGTCAGCCATCTTGTCACTACCACTCTGGCTCATGTCAGTTCAATATTTATCCACTAGGTGTCTCTATGCAGAGGCCAGAAGTGGCACTCTGAGCTTTTGAGGTTAAATTTGACAATTTTTTGTTTGTTTGTTCATTTTGGGTAGCAGCAATCAACAGCAGTCGAATTTGACCCCGTGGGTTCTCCAGGGTTAATAAACTCTGTTGGTCTGTGGCACAGTAATGACACACCAAGGTACCACAGACTACATTTATTTTATACTTTATTTGATGCACACGTTTGTTTGCCCTTTGAATGTGTTGAGTCTGAGGGCACTGAATGTAGTTCTATGGGAGAACATGAAGTTTTGAGAAAAACTGATGGCAAATATGATGTGAATAGTTTTTCATAAGTATTTATGATCCCAGAAAATGACATGGTCTGCAGGAACACCCTAGAAAGCTCAGGTGAGCTGATAATCAAAGCGCGAGCCTGACTCAGCACCACTGTCCCCATTTCTCATGCTCCCCATCTCCCCTGCTCCCGTGTCTCCCGCTCCCTATGTTTCCTGCTTCCTGTGTCTCCCGCTCGCTCCCCACTGACACAGACACTAAACTTTGACATCAAGTAGGAGGCTGCAAAATATCAAATTCTGCAGGCCGCAGTTGGCTCCTGGGCTGTGAGTTTGAGACCCCTGCTTTAAATTCATAGACTGTATAAAAATCATGGATCTATTATTTATACAGTCAATTATATTTAAAGTGCAGCTGTCACATGGGTACTTGGGAAGCAGGAGACACCGCACTGAAATCAACTGATTCATAAACATTTATCACACCCCTGACCTATTGTGATTCAGTGTGCTCACTCTCTCTCTCTCCCCCAGCCCCAACTCTCCACTGGTGGCATTTTGCTAGTATAGGCTAATGAATGGATAACAACAGTGCTATGTGCTATATGAGTTATGGCTAGTTCAACTTCAAGTCAAAGTACGTCCAATAAACCATTTACCTATGTCTTCTCTTCAGTGGGACCTTTCTGCAAAGAAAAAAAGCGGAAGATTAGCATTAAGCTGCATGAGTGCATCAGGCTGCGATATATTCTACGGCTCTTATTTTGATTCACACGGGCTAGTGGCTAGTTACTTTCGCTAAACCGTGGGAAACACTACAGCCCCACCAGGCACTTAATGCCACCACTGGGGCCCGCGACACTCGCTGTTCACTGCTCCCTGCACTACTAACCACTTGTATTCTGCTGTAACCACCCACTTATGTTTTAGTGGGGAAGGCTAAACCAATGAGGTGAAGTCTTTGCTAATATTGAGTGGGGGGTGAGGAAAATGTTCAGTGAAAATCCTCTCACATTTGCGTTATAAATTATTAACAGTTTTGTACAAATAAAAGATATTCACATGACATTTACAAATCAATATTCAAACAACATTGACAATATTCACAGCACGAACAGTTTACACCTCTTCTTTCTCTGGAGAAAATCATTTAACTGAGATTGTGTGATCAGACAGCAGTGGGTTTTAT